TGTCTGTCAGGAGCTTCCTTTCCCCTACTACTGCTGCGTCTGCATGTGTGAAACCGAAACCACTTCAGCGTCCTGATTGGCCTCTTTGTGTTGAACTGCTGAGATGTGATGGATTCTGCAGAGTTACAGCCCGTGTTACTTCACGCAGGAGCAGAGCCTGCATCTTTCCCATGGCTCACAAGGATCGCTGCTCCTGTTACCTCCAGCATCCTGCTTACATGGCAGCAAGGAGACTGCCTGGCCTGTGCACAGGAGCACCAGGTGCAAGCAGCAGGGCGTCAGGCTGGAGCTGGAGCTGGGTCTTCTGTTCATCATTCAGTTTCCCAGCCTGGAGCAGAGCCTCTGCTGGCCCAGCAGCTGCTGATGGTCTCGGAGAGCAGCAGTGAGCAGGAGGGGGGTGCTGGTGCTCAGCTCCTCCCTGCCCTGCAGCCTGCTGCATCCGACCCCGTGCCAGTTTGGTGCCCAGCTCCTTCCTGCCCCAGATCTGCTGCTCCTGACCCCACGTTGGTTTGGCGTTGCTGCTGTTCCCTCGCACTGTGGATCCAGCCCAGTGGCTGTGCTGCAGAAGGCCTCGAGGCTCAGGAGCCAGAGCTGCTGGGCCTGAGTTGGGCACAATCTCTCCTCACACCGGGCTGAACGCAGGCACAGAGTCCTTCTTACAGCAGCACGCAGCCGACCACAGGACTGTTTCCATTCGGGGCTCTCTGATAGAGCATCACTGTTTTCTTTCTGGTGGGCTTAATGGCAGTTTGAGCTTGTGGCTGCTGAGCCCAAGCCCTCAGTGCCCTCTGGGGCGCTCAGTTCTCAGATGGGATGTGCTGTGTTTGATCCTTTTCAGCCTCGTTTTTAGACCTGGTCTTATTTTAGCGTCTGTATATTTACTGTTATTACTGTATTTCCTAGGGCTGTATTTTTAGCCTTTTCCTTGGTTCCCGTGCTGCTGCTGAAATCCCAGCCGTGGCATTTCCTGCTCTGTGGTAAAATCCTGCTAATATTTTCCATCCAGGTGCGATGGCATTGGATGGGGATGCAAGGAAAAGCAGAGCTCTGCCTTTGGCTGCGGGTGCGTTGCTCAGCAGAGATGCTCGTCCCTCCCCACCATCCCTGGGATCTCAGGAGCAGCTGAGATTGTGCTTTTCCAGCAGCCTGATGATTTTGAATGTGTCAGCTTGTAACCTCCAAAGATCTGAATGAAATCATGCGTGACTCATTATTGGTTTTGCGTGGTGAGAGCTCAGTGGAGCTGAGCATTTGTCAGGCCAGCGAGCTGTGAAGCAGAGCTGTGTCAATAGCAAATGTTCTCCGTGGGGTGATGTATGGTGATCCGTGAAAGGGCTGCGGGAATGGTTGGGAGCTGGGAGAAAATGGCCTGGAGAGGTGGGAGGTTGGAGGTGAGGAGCGCCTGCAGCGCGCGATGTGTGCTGGGGAGGGAGCAATCCTGGCGTGGGGAGCAGTTAATGGGTGGCAGAGCTGGAAGGGGAAGGCGGGCGCTGCGGGGCAGGAAGAAAAACCCATCATTTTCAGGAAGAAAAACCCATCATTTTCACAGCACCCTTCAGACTGGGGGGAGGGATGGGGAGGAAAGACAGCAAATGCTTTCTTCGTTTGTGGAATCGTGGCGTGGTTTGGGTTGGAGGGGACCCTAAAGATCACCCAGTGCCCCCCGAGGGCTGGCTGCCCCTCCTCCATGGGGCTCCTATGGGACGGCGCCCTGCCACCCTCTGGGAGAGACCTTCATCCGCTCATTTAATCCAAATCTCCCTTTCTTCAGTTCAAAACCGTTCCTCCTTTTTATTTATTTCCTTTCCTAATCCCAGCGTTTTTCATTTTCGTGGCTCAGAGCCTCAAAGGGACGCGGGGCAGCACGGAGCAGGGAGCCAGGAAAAGGGAGGGGAGGTTTGGAACAAGGATGCTCAGATCATGTTGGATTAAAAGCTTTGCTTTCCCAGTTTAGGGTTTCGTTGGGGTTTTTGGTTGTGTTTTTTCCCCAGATCAGGCAGACGCAAGGCGGGCTGTCAGCCCTGTGGGGTGGGAGCTGCGGAGCTGAGCTGCGTGCTGCCCTAAGCAGCCCCACGTTGCAGTGAGGTGTTCAGTGGGAGCTTCCTGTTGTGCCGACACCAGCGTGCGAAGGAGGAAGCAGTGAGCAGAGCTGGGAGAGCTCCGCCGTGGTGAGCAGGGCTGGGCACCATCCCTGCTTCACTTCAGGGCTGGGAGGAGATGTTCTGCGGCAGCAGGAACCCCGGGGTGCTGCTGGGAAGGCAGCTGCTGCCAGGACTTCCTTTGCTGATGGGATTCACCCCAAAAGCCCTCAGCTCTGCTGCTCCCAGGCCTCTGCAGAGACGTCGGCACGGAGCCGCTGGGCCTTCATTGAGCTGTGATGGCACAGCTCTCACCCAGAGCTGCCTTCTCCACTGGATGGCCGCGCTTCTTACCCTTCTCACCACTGCTCTGCTCTTCCCCTGAGGGCCCAGGAGGAAGCTGGGCTGGAAGGAGCTGCTGCCTGTTGTTGGGCTGGGACGTCTGCTGGTGCTGCACCATCCCAATGCACAGAGGGAGGCAGAGCCAGGACGTGTTTGCTCCGTGCTGTGAGCTTTCCCCTCCTTGCAGCAGGAGCAGCGGGTGCAGCAGATGGCAGCCCACGCTGATCTGCGCTCAGGTGCTGCTCCTGCTGTCCTGCAGGAGGTGCTGCCTTTGGCCTCAGACAAACTGGGCTGGGACATTCAGTTCCCAGAAGATGAGGAACAGTTGGATTTTTGTACATCTGGATTTCCCTCCTGTGGTGACAGGGCTTTTCTCAGAGCTCTCAGCTGCTGAGGAGCTCCAACCCTGATCCAGGCCCGAAGGGCACTGCAGGCAGCGGCTGGGCAGGATCAGTGCGGAGCTGAGGGCTTTTCTTCCTTGTGCTCTCAGGAGCTTCTCATTCTTTCATCTGCATGCAGCTGCATTTCCTTTCTGCAGCATTGGGATCCATCCTGCGTGCAGGTGGGGAGCAACGCTGTGTGCCAGCAGCAGCAGCAGCAGGGGGCAGCGACCTCGGGCTCCTTCCTCTCCGTTCCCCTCTTTCGTTCTTCTCTTGTGACCTCTTTGGGCTGGGAATGGCATCAGTGCCTGGAGGGCCCAGAACAGTGTTGCCCCGGCTGGCACTGCCAGGTTTCACTGCATGGGAAAGAACTTTTAGAAACACCTTGCCAGCCTTTCAGGCCTGCAGCCGTGCTCAGGAGCCTCTGAGCGTGGATATTTCAGCGCAGGCTGCAAACTGCAGGGCAGATGAGGAAACCCAGCCGAGAGCAGCAGCTCTGCGTGGCCCCGTTGGGGCTCTCATTGTTTCTGGAGTTCCGTTCCATCGGGCCGCTGCTCGCTTGCGTTTTGCTCTGCAGCGCGTTTTGGTTTTGCTTCCTGGACTCAGAGCTCTTCACGTTGCTACAGGGGAGCTCTGCTTTGCTTTAAGACCACATCAAGGAGCGAGGAGCAGGGTGTGACGTGCTGTGTGCTGGGGGGGAGCAAAGCACGGGGAGGCGCCGCTCTGAGCATCACCGCAGCCCTTCCTGCCCCACAGCCAGGGCAGCTCGGTGTCCCCCGCCGTGCGGTGCTTCACCCCATAGGTTTGATGCCATGGCAGCGTGGCACAGTGAGGAGGGTGGGAGCAGCGTTGGGGTGCAGAGCAGGATGCTCCAGAGATGGCAGCTCAGAGCCTGCAGGAACGGAGCCCGTAACCCTCACTGCTCAGCCTCACTGCGGGCGCTGTGCTCCAAAGCCAGGTGTGCTGCTGGGGGGGAGCAGGGCAGCCCTGCAGCTCCTGGGCTGCCTGAAAGTGCTCTCAGACCCTCCCTCGTCCCCCCTCCCCCCGTGCATCCTTTAGCACAAGAAGCCTTTTTTATTATTATTAATAGCTATTGCAAGCCAGTAAAAAGTTTTATGGGCTTTGGCTGAGCGTCAGGGCTTGCAGTGCGCTCATTTCCTGCAGTCTGAGTGCTGGAGGGGGCTGGGTTTGCTTGGTTAACCCACGGTAGCAGAGCTGAGGACTGACAGCAGTGCAGCAGGAGCTGGAGGGGAGCGGAGGGGACTGCAGCCACAGGGGCAAAAACCCATCTGTGGTGGCTGTGTGAGCCTGGCTGTCTGTCCGTCCCTCTCCTCTGCCCCCGTAATGATGTTGGTGTCAGCTCACGGTGAGCAGAGGGGCTTTTTGTGCCTTGGGCTGCTGTCTTTCCACCCAGATCTCTCTCCCAGGTGCCAGCATCTGTGCCACAGCACGATGGGGCCTCGCATCCACTTGCATGGCAAGGAGCAAAAGCTGCTCTGCACCTGGTCCTGACCACAGGGATCCTCGCAGCCCACCTCCTCCAGGGCCAGCATCCTCTGTTTGTAGGAAGCTGCACACCCACTGTGCTTTGCCCCATAGCTGCCCCATGCTGGGTGCTCTGCTCCGTGGGGCTCAGCTCTGTGCCCCATAGCCGCCCCATGCTGGGTGCTCTGCTCCTTGGGGCTCAGCTCTGTGCCCCATAGCTGCCCCATGCTGGGTGCTCTGCTCCTTGGGGCTCAGCTCTGTGCCCCATAGCTGCCCCATGCTGGGTGCTCTGCTCCTTGGGGCTCAGCTCTGTGCCCTATAGCCGCCCCATGCTGGGGGCTCAGCTCTGTGCCCCATAGCCGCCCCATGCTGGGGGCTCTGCTCCGTAGGGCTCAGCTCTGTGCCCCATAGCTGCCCCATGCTGGTTGCTCTGCTCCGTAGGGCTCAGCTCTGTGCCCCATAGCCGCCCCATGCTGGGTGCTCTGCTCCGTGGGGCTCAGCCCCTTCTGCCACCCCCCTCTATGGGTGCCCTGTCCTCCCCACGGCCTTCTGCCTCACACGGCACAACTTCCCTCCCACTCAGGACGTAGGGCAGCAGTTCCAGCTCTGCTCTCCCCACGGCAGCCCCCCTTCACCCCTTTCCCACCCCGTGGGGCAGGGCGCTGGGCGCGCAGCTCCGTCTTTCACTGACTCTCCTTTCTCCCCCCCTTTGCAGCTCGCCGGGCGCTGGGAGGACCCCGTCTGCAGGATGTTCTCTCCACCAAAGGTCTCCTCGTGACCGCTGACCATGACCGTCCCGGCGGCACCTCGGGAGGCACCAACGTTGCAGTAGCCCGGCTCGTCCCCCCGCCGCACACCGGGATGCTGCACTGACCGAGGGCAGCCCCGCTTCTTTTCTCCTCTCCCCCTCAACTTTCAGCAGCTCTGGGATTTGTATGGCAGCAGCGTAACCGTGGAGAGGCCGGGGTATCACAAACTTATGGATTTTGATAAGAGAGGAGGGAAAGGGGAGCTGGAGGAAGGTAAAAGGATGTCCAAGACGGGTGGAGGAAGGAGCAGCCATGGAAGTCGGAGCGCCGGAACCAACTCGGGAGTCTTAATGGTGGGTCCCAACTTCCGCGTCGGAAAGAAGATCGGATGCGGCAATTTCGGGGAGCTCCGCCTAGGTGAGAAGGGCCTTCTGCTCCTCTGTCCTCGCCGTGCCTCGTGCTGCCGTGCCCTCCTGCAGCCCAGCACTGCGTGGGCAGCCCCGACCCCGCCGGGTTCTGTTGCTCAGCGCTTCCTCTCCCACATGCTGTGGGGTGAAGGTTGCGCTGCGGCGCCTCGTCCGTCTCTCCCCCTTCCCCTCCTTTCGGGTTCACTGTGGGAAGCAGCGCTCTCTCTCCCGAGGATCCTGGGCTCCATCGGAAGAGGGGTGGGCAGCAGGGATTGTCCCTCTTTACTCTGCCCTCGTGAGGCCCCATCTGCAGTGCTGCGTCCAGGTCTGGGGCCTCCAGCACAAGAAGGACGTGGAGCTGTTGCAGAGGGGCCACAAAGATGAGCTGAGGGCTGGAGCAGCTCCCCTCCAAAGACAGGCTGAGGGAGCTGGGCTTGTTCAGCATGGAGAAAAGAAGCTGCAGGGTGACCTCAGTGCTGCCTGCAGTACCTGAAGGGAGCCTGCAAACAGGAGGGGAATCAACTCTTGGAAAGGGGAGATGACAGCAGAACAAGGGGAAATGGTTTGAAGTTGAGGGAGGGAAGATTGAGGTTGGATGTCAGGGGGAAGTTCTGTGCTATGAGAGCGGTGAGGTGCTGGAACAGCTGCCCAGAGAGGCTGTGATGCCCCGTCCATCCCTGGAGGTGTTCAAGGCCAGGTTGGATGGGGCCCTGGGCAGCCTGGGCTGCTGTGAAATGGGGAGGCTGGCAGCCCTGCGTGTGATGGGGGGGTTTTGGAGCTTTGTGATCCTTGAGGTCCCTTCCAACCTGGGCCATGCTGTGGTTCTGTGACCCCCCACATGCCCTGGGAGGTTCTCAGTGGGATTTCACCTCCCCAATGGACATCGGGGGCAGGGGAGGCCTGCAATCCCAGCAGGGCTGTGCCAGCACACAGCTGATGCCTGCAGGAGTTCAGTCTGTGCCAGGTGAAGCAGGCTGTGAGCTCTGGGGCAGGGCTGGTGATGCAGGAGGGAAGGAGAGAGGCCGGGTCGTGGTGTGGGGGCAGAGCGGGCTGCCAGGCGTCCCCAGGTGGGCACAAAGCAAGCAGTCCTCAGGGCACGTCTCGTCCCCACTGCTGCTTCCTGCCTGCACCCCCTGCCAGCCAGGCTGCCCCGAAGCTGCACCTCAGAGGCAGCAAACGTGTGCAGATTTGTCTCTTCTTGTGACCTTTTGGTGATTGCTTACCTTTCCCCACCCCAGTGCTTCTGCTTCCAGCAGCAGAACGGAAGCGCGGTGTCTTTCTTCTTTCCAAGTTAAACTTCCATCTTTCACCTCTTCTTTCTAAAGTTAAAAGCAGCTCTTTGGAGGGGGCAGGAAGACAGGAGTGGGTCCCCAGCCCACGGCTGCGGTGTCACAAACCCCGAGCTCGTGCTGGTTTGTTTTTCTCTGGGATGGTATTAAAAGCAATGGCTGCTCTGAGGGAGCAGCACAGCCATGGTGAGCACTCAGTGCCTGAGCTGCCCTCGCTGTGCAGCCGTGACGTGTGGGAGCAGCTGCCCCATTGCACGGCTTGGTTTGGAGGCAGCGCCGTGCTGATGGGGCAAAGGGCCCCTTTGCAAAGGCAAATATTTGCTCTCTGCCACTCGTTTTGCTGCTTGGATTTCAGTTTTCTGCTTCGCAACCACCTCCGCTTCCATGCAGCCCCGCAGCAGCGAGGTGCCACCTGGGGGCAATGCCTTTTAGGTGTCAACACGGCCATAGTTTGGACAAATCCGGGGCTGTGCAGGGACAGGCCTGGCTGAGCAGCCCCTGCCCTCCTTCCGTTCTCCTTCCCTTTTCCCCTCCTGGAGCTTTCTGTTCGCTCCCTCTTCCTTTTTAGCAGGCTGGGGGCCAGCAGCTCGCAGTGATGCTGATGGTCTCCCTGCCCCCAGGTCACAGGAGGGGCTGCCGCTCACATTCACGATGTCCATCCGGCCGGGCTGCAGCCCCCCCTGCATTTCTTCTCCCCTTCTCATCCCCCATCCTCCAGCACTGTGGTGAACAACCAGGAGCCCCGGCTGGAACCGAACCACGGCAGGCTCTGACTTTCCCTTGCTGTCCCCACAGAGGCACTGCGTGCTGGGGAGCTCCGTGCACGGATGGGGCAGCAGCTCCTGCCTTCTCCGCTCCCTTCCTGTCCCCCGTTCATCCCTTCCCCGTAACCCTGCTCGGCAGCTGGCTCTGCTGTCACCCGGCGAGGATTTATTGCTGCTTCAGGTGGCTTCAGATGAAACCTCGTGGCAGGAGGAGCAGATTGCTGGGAGGAAACCGCGAGCAGATGCAGCTCCGTTGGGCTGCAGGAGGGGGGGTCCCTTTGCGTGGGGGCAGCAGGGGGGGAGCCTGGGGGGCTGCCGCAGGGCCGTGCTGAGCTGTGTGCTGTGCACTGCAGCTCGGCCTTTAGGAGCTGTGGGTGGGAAGGTCCTCCTGTGGCTGTGGGGACGGGGAGCCCCGCTCAGTGGCGATGCCTTCTGTTGGTGTTTCCCTGCAGGAAAGAACCTCTACACCAACGAATACGTAGCGATCAAATTGGTGAGTCCTGCAGTGCGGGGCGGGGGGTGAGGGGGGCTGACCTCAGGGCCTCCCCCCAGCAGCACTGAGCACCACTTCCCTCCTCGCAGGAGCCCATCAAGTCCCGGGCCCCACAGCTGCACCTGGAATATCGCTTCTACAAGCAGCTCGGCAATGCAGGTACGGCCCAGGGCCCCCAGCCGGGGGAGGCAGCGCTGCCAGGCGCCGTGGGGCTGCTCCCCCCACTGCTGCACGCATTGACAACACCCCCCCCCCCCCCCCCCAAACCTCCCCCCTTTTCTCTCTCGCAGAAGGAATTCCTCAGGTTTATTACTTCGGCCCCTGCGGGAAATACAACGCCATGGTGCTGGAGCTGCTGGGCCCCAGCCTGGAGGATCTCTTTGATCTGTGCGACCGCACCTTCACCCTCAAAACCGTCCTGATGATCGCCATCCAGCTGGTGAGGGGGGGGGGGGGGCCGTAGGGTGGGGGGGGGGGGGGCAGGGGGGTGGGGGGCAGGCGGCCCGGCCCACTGACCGACCCCCCCCCGTGCCCTTCAGATCACACGGATGGAGTACGTCCACACCAAAAGCCTCATCTACAGAGACGTCAAACCCGAGAACTTCCTGGTGGGGCGGCCGGGCAGCAAACGGCAGCACACCATTCACATCATTGATTTCGGCCTGGCCAAAGAGTACATCGACCCCGAGACCAAAAAACACATCCCCTACAGAGAGCACAAGAGCCTGACGGGGACGGCGCGTTACATGAGCATCAACACCCACCTGGGGAAGGGTACGGGGGGCTGCGACCCGCCTGGGGGGCTGAGAGGGGCTGTGGGGGGGGAGGTGCTGACGGCCGCTTCTGTCTCCGCTCAGAACAAAGCCGCAGGGACGACCTGGAAGCGTTAGGCCACATGTTTATGTACTTCCTCCGTGGGAGCCTTCCCTGGCAGGGCCTGAAGGTAAAGGGCTGGGGGCTGCTCGCACCGTGCCGCCCCTGCCGTGTCCCTGCCGTGCTGTGGGGGCGCTGCTGTCCCAGCTGCCCCCCACTGCTCCCCCTGACCCCCCTCCCCCCGCCAGGCGGACACACTGAAGGAGAGGTACCAGAAGATCGGCGACACCAAGCGAGCCACGCCGGTGGAGGTGCTGTGCGAGAACTTCCCAGGTGAGGGCACCCAGCGTGGCCCCGGCCCGGCCCCACACCTCCACCCCCCCCCAAACTGAGCCCCCCTGTCCCCGCAGAGGAAATGGCCACATACCTGCGCTACGTGCGGCGCTTGGACTTCTTTGAGAAGCCGGACTACGATTACCTGCGAAAGCTCTTCACGGATCTGTTTGAGAGGAACGGTTTCGTGTTCGACTACGAATACGACTGGGCTGGGAAACCGCTGGTGAGCGGGGAGGGGGGGGCGGGGGGCAGCTGTTGCGGTAGAGCTGTTAGACGGCAATCTGAGGCTCCTCCTCGTGCCAGGGGACCAGCAGCAGTGGGCCGGGGGCCGGGCTGGGCGCTGGGGCTGCTTGGTTCCTTTGGCCGCAGGCGGTGGCACGGCTGACGTTGCGCTCCTTGCATCCCCAGCCCACCCCCATCGGCACGATGCACAGCGAGGTGCAGGTGCAGCCCCCGAGCAGAGACAAAGCACAGCCACACACCAAACACCAGGTGAGCGGCAGCGCGGCCTCCCCCGGCACCTCCTGCTCCTCACAGCCCCGGTGCCGGGGCTGCATCCCGGCGGCTGACCGGTGGCTGCGGGTGGGAGGGAGCAGCTGGGGCTGCCTGCGGGCTGCGGCGCTGCTGGACGGCGGCGGTGCGGAGCTGGGGGCGACGCCCGGTGTGATTCGTGGATGTGGTTCCGGTCACCCCCGTCGGTGGGGCGGAGCCGGCGCCAGGAGGGGCCGCTCCGGAGCGTGGCCCCACGCTGCGTGTGTGGGGCGGTGCTGGGGGACCGCAGAGCTGTGCAGGAGACGAGCGACCCTCAGCCCCGAGCCGGTGGCTGTGCAGCCCCTCGTGCCTTCAGCTGGGGCTCGGGGGAGCGGGGCTGTGCGGGTGCCTGAGCGCTGCTGCCCTTTGGGACCCTCAGAGGCTGAGCAATGAGGGCTGAGGAGCGCGGCGCTCCATCCGCCTCCCTGCTCGAGTCTGCAGCGCTTCTACCGGGGCCGCCAGGCCCCGCTGTGAGCTGCAGGTGGGGGCAGAGGCACCGCGTGGCTCCGGCCCTCCCCAGCTTCCCCACAAAGCTCCCACAGCCCGGAGCCGCGCGCTCCTGCAGGGCTCAGAGCTGCGCCAGCGCCTCCCCCCGAGCTGCTCCGGCCCCGGCTTTTGCTTTTTTGCATGTCTTACTTTCTCTACTCCTTCCCGCCGCTCTTCTTCCCCCCTCCCCCCTTCGCCCCGTTGTCCCCCACCTCTCCCTTCTCCCCCCCCATTCTTTTCCTCTTTTCTGTTCTTTTGTTTCTTTTCATCCTCTACCTCCCGCCTGCCGCGAGCAGCCGCCCGATGGGACGGAGCAGTGGGATGCTCACGCTGGCGGGCAGCCGGCCGAGGAGCCCGGGGGAGCTCGCCTGGCAGCCGGCCGGCTCGGGGGGTCCGTGCAGGTACACAACCACGTGCTGAGGGCAGGGGGGCGCGGGGCAGAGCAGGCCGGCCGTGCTGCGCTGCCAGGACGCGGCTCTGACTGCGGGCCGTTCCTCCATCGCTGGGACGGGGCGACGGCTTGGAGCCCTGCTTCCCTCCGCCCTTCCCCGGGCGGCTCTCGGCTCGGGGGGGCACCGTGCCTTGGACCCCCGGGTCCCCCCTGGTTGCGCTGCGCCGTTCCCTCTGTCTGCGCTTCGTCCCGTCGCTGCTGCTCGGCCCCGCTGCTCCGTGGGGTGGCTGTGGGTCGGCTCGCCCTCCTGCTGCCCTTGGTCCCCTGCCGGGTCGCTGCCCGCTCTTCCTCCGGGCTGGGGGTGACGGCTTGGTGGTCCCACAGCTCTGGGGCGGCCCGGCTTCACGGTGGGGCCTGCGGCACCGGGCTGCCATTGCCGTGCTGAGGGACCTCCGGGGCTGCGGGAGCCTTTGGGGGCTGATCCCCTCAGCACGGCCGAGTCGGGGCTCAGGGACGGCGGTGAAGCTGCTGGGGGATTGGCTGGGGGTTGTGGGGCGGCTGGGCGCACAGCAGCACAGGAGCAGCCGTCTGCCATCCCAGCCAGGGGAGCCGGGGCCCCCACGACGCGGGGCCGCCACCTGCAGCTGCTGCGGGGCGAGGGATGAGGCCCTATGGGACGCCCCCCCCACCCCACAGCACGGCCCCACGCTGACGTGTGCCTCCCTGCAGGTGATGAGCTCCACCAACGGAGAGCTGAACACGGACGACCCGACGGCGGGGCACTCGAACGCGCCCATCACAGCCCCCACCGAGGTGGAGGTGACCGACGATACAAAGTAAGGACGCCCCCAGCCCCACATTGCACCCCACTCGCTGCCCCGCCGCCACCGTAAGGGACAGTGCGAGCAGTGCCACCATGCTTGGTGCTGCTGTGCCCGGTGTCACCGTGGTGGTGCCGCATGCAGGGCCGTGGGACGGATCTGAGGGGGCTCTCAGGGATCGCTGTGTGCCCCCACCCCCACGGGGCCCCTGTTCCCCTCACACTCAGGCACTGATGGTCCCTCCTTCCCCCCATCCTTCTGTCCCTCCATCCCTCTGTCAATCTGTCCCTCCATTCTTTTGTTCCTCTGTCCCTCCATCCCTGCACCGTTCCTCTGCCCTTCCATCATTTTGTTCCTGTTCCTCTGTTCCTCCATCCATCCTTCCATCCCTCTGCCTCTGTCCCTCCATCCCTCCATCCTTCCATCCCTCCTCTGTCCCTCCATCCTTCTGTTCCTCCATCCCTCTCCACCTCCATCCTCCCATCCTTCCGTCCCTCCATCCCCGTCCATCTGTCCGCAGGTGCTGCTGTTTCTTCAAGAGGAGGAAGAGGAAAAGCACCAAACGCCATAAGTGAGCGCGGGCGGAGCAGCGGTGCGGGGCTCCCCTCCCTCCGGCCGTGCCGGACGGTGCCCGCGATGCCGTGCGGTGGGAGGAGCCCGGCGCCCACACGCAGCACAGCGGGGCCTCCCCCTGCCCGGCCCGGCCGCTCTCGTGTCCCCGCATCCGCCAAAAAAGAGAAAAAAAAAAAGGTATAAAAAAGAAGAAAAGCCCCGCAGGGAGCGCAGCGCGGGGCGCCCGTTGTGCCCGGCGGGACAGGAGCCGATCCTCACCGCGCTGCGCTGCGCACCGAACCCTGGGCTCTTTTTTTTTTTTTTTTCTTTTTTTTTTCTTTTTTTTTTTTCTTTTTTTTTTTTCTGTTGCTTCTTTGTCTCTTAAGTTAATTTAAAGTGAGTCTCAGTGCAGCGCGCCGAGTTGTCGGTCCGTCCTTCACCGCCATCCGCCGCGTCCCGCCATGCGCTCGGCACGGCGCTGCGCCCCACGGCTGCGGGTCCCGGTGGGCAGCGGGGCAGCCGAGCTCCGCGGCGCCGTGCGGCGGTCGGACCCCCATAAACGGTTAAACGGGGGCACGGCGGGTCCCGCGGTGGCGCCGGGGTGGCGCCGAGGGCACCGCAGCCCCGCACCCAACCGCGGCGACCCCCGTGGGTGCGCACGGAGCCCCCGGACCCCAACCGAGCGACGCGCCGCCGCGCGCATCGCTCACCGCACGGGGGGGGGGGGGGGGGGGGGGGACACGCTTAGCTTTACCCGCCCCCCGCCGCTCTGCCCCAAAGGGGTCGGACGGCGCTGGGGCTCTGGGGAGGGGGGGGGGAGCGGGGGGAACATCTGTGGCTGCTTCGGAGCATCGTTCAAACCATCCCGATGGGGGGGGGGCGGTGGGGACGCCCCGCTGGGGACCGCAGACCCCCCCCCCTCCCAGCCCGCAGCGCTCACTGCTTCCAAGCGAGATGTACGGAACCGGCGTCGCCATCTCTGATGCTTCTCTGGGGGCGCGGGGCTCCTTTTCCCTCTCGGGTTTGGTTTGGTTTTTGTTTTTGTTTTTTTTTTGTTGTTGTTTGTTTTGTTTTTTTTTTTTTTTAATAAAAAAAATATAGAAGAAAAAAATAATTAAAAAAAAAAAAATCTTTAAAACGTTTTGCTGCGTGTCTGCGTGGTCACGGGGGGGGGGGGGGGAGGCGCCGGGTTTGGGGCTCGCAGCACCTCCCCAGGAGCTGCCTAAAGACAACCGAAGGTCTTTATTCATCTCCTATGTACAAATCGCAGCGCCGCGGCCCAAAGCAGAGCGCGAACACGGGACAGAGCAGCGGATAACATTCAGTGCGGCGCCGGGGGGGGGGGGGGGCGGCCCCAGCTCCGCTCGGGGGTGACGCGGTGCAGCGCCTCACACTTTCGGAAAGGGGCGAAGTCCGACAGCGAGCGCCATTCCTGCACGTACAGCAGCTGAGCCACGCGGGGCTCCTCTCCGTGCGGAACGGCTCACGGCTGCCGACGGGGAGAGAAACCGCAGAGCAGCGGCGGGGAGAGGCGCCGTGAAGCCGCGCCGGGGCCGGGCGCCGCAGCCCCGCACGCCGAATAACGCGCGGACCCATCGCGCTCGCTTTTTCCGCCGTGGTTTTCGTCGCGTTATTTCGGTACTGGCCGTGCTGAGCCGCCCCGCGTGGAGATCCCGACCGCGGCCCGCGCTGCGGCTGCCGGGCATCAGCGCAGCGGAACGTCCCACCCCGCGGGCTCCCGCGACGTCCCCGCAGCGCCGAACCGGAGCTCCGCGGCTCCGCTCCGACCCCACCGCCATCGTCCGTCCCGCGGCGCTCAGCCCCCCCCAGCGGCGCCGCTCACCTCCGCGCTCCCTGCAGGCGGAGAAGCGCCGACGCTCAGCACGGCCGCGGGTGGGGGACGAAGGGGCGGCCGCAGCCCTGCGGCGGTGGGGTTCGGTGCGGCGCTTCTGGGCTCCGTCGGGCTCCGAGCCGAAGGCGCCGTGGCCCCGCGGCGGCACTATGTGTAGAAGATGATCTCTGGGATCTGTCCGTCCTCCACCGAAGTGCCGTTGTTGTTCCCGGCCGCGTAGCAGAAGGTGAAGCAGGTCTTGGCGCCGCTGGTGGGCGATTCGTGGATCACCTTGCGCAGCCCTTTGGTGCCGTAGTGAGAATCGGGGCCCTGCGGGGACGCGGGGCGGCTCAGGCACAGCGCGTGGCTTCGCGCTCCCTCCCTCCCTCCCCCTCTGCCCTGCGTGCGGCCCCTCAGCCCCACCGCCCCCCCGCGTACCTTCAGAGTAGCGCACGCCGTGTAGTTGACGTTGGGCAGAACCTCCACGGGCTCCTTGAACATCACACGGAACGTGTTGGAGGAGCCGTCGCAGCTGAAGCCCGTGTCGTTCTGGCCCAGCACCGTGTTACTGTCCGTGTGGATGATCTGCAAGAGACACAACGGCTTTCCACCCGTGTGACAGCCGCGGGCACGGATCCCCACCCCCAGGGATCCACTCCCCACCGCGCTCCCCCCCCCACATCCCAGCCACGTACCTGGATGTTCACCTGGTAGTCTGTGGGGCCGTGGATGGAGCCGTACAACCCAAAGCCAACCACGAAGATGCGTTTGTTCACCGAGAACCTGCAGGGGCGGACAGCCGTGCTCAGAGCGCCGCTGCAGCGCCGACACGTCGCCAACGCCGCCCTTCTGCCGCCCCGCACCTCACACCCACAGCTGGAATCCTCTGCTGAGATCCTGACCCGTAAAGCTGGCTGTGCTACGGCCCCGCGCTCGTTTGGTTTCACGTGGGGGAAGCGCCGCCCCATCGCTGAGCCCCACAGCGCACCGAGTTGGGGGCTGCAGGACGACCCGGCGCCAGCAGCAGCTCCCGGTGCTGCTCTCACAGAGCTGCTCCGAGAACCCACTGCACACAGGAAAGGGGAATAGGAGCAAATTGCTCCAGAGCGCAGGAACGCCCGGGCCCTCAGTGCAGCACGGCAGGCTTCCCGCGGCCCAGCACAGTGCTGGAAGGACACGGGGGCAAAGCTGGGCTGGAAGGACGCACGCCTGCCCCGCTGCCGTTCCCCAGCCCGGAGCATTGGGCGCCCCCAGGCCGCACCGGGTTACGGCCACGGCTCACAGCAGCGCCACGCACGGCTCACACGGAGGCAGCGGTGAAAAGGCGCCGTGCCTGCAGGACTGCGCCAGCGCCACTTCCCTGCCCTGCACCCAGCGCCACCCCACAGCTCCGCGGCTTCCCGGCCGCCTCCCGCCCGCTCCAGCCGCAGCCCGGCCCGGCTGCACGCGGCTGCTCCTCCCCCGGCCCGGCCCTGCGCCGTCAGCAGCAAAGCGGCCGGCAAAGCCCCTCATCCGACCCTCAGCAATCAGCGGCACCGCCGAGCCCCGACCGCCTCGCTGCCCCGCGGCTACGAGAGCCGCCCCAGCAGCGCACCGGACGCGGCGCTGGCACTCAGGAGCAAAGCAGCAGCCCGCAGCTGCGCGCACAGCAGAACGCGGCCGCTCTCCCCCGCGGCCGGCAGCAGGGCCCGGCACGCTGCCCTGCGGGCACGGGGAGGAAAGCTCGGGAAACACGAATCTATCGGCAGCAGAACGAGCAGAGAAGCTGACCTTATCCTGTCACTAGTCCCACTGTACCCCCAGCGGCTCTCCACCTGCTGGAATCGGCTGATGCTGCACTCCTTCCCCCGCAGGCAGCAGCGCGGCCGGTCGATGAACTCCACGCGCGGTTTGGGGTTCACGGTGAAGTGCAGGAACAGGCTGACCACCTCCCGGTCCGTCAGGATCCCCGACTGGGCCGGCCCTGCAGGGAGCAGCACGGTGAGCCCAGGGCTGCCAGCACACGGCGCTGGGAAACGCAGCATCACTGCTGCAGGGCTGTGAGCTCCCAGGGAACAGCAGCACCTCTGCGCCGCGCCTGGAGAAGAGCAGCTGTGGCAGCGGCTCCCCGTGCCTCCACACGGGAAACGGGCAGAAATCAGTGCTGCAGCTCCTCCAGCAGAAGCTGCTCTGCTTCTCTGTGAGCAGAGAGGCTCTCACAGAGCAGAGGGTTGGAGATGTGGGATGCAGGAGCTGCGTGGAGCAGAGGAACGGCCGGAGGCACAGAGCTGACGGAGCAATGAGCGCGAGGGGATTTTGCTTAGCAAGAATGAACCATCGTTAATCACAGCTGAAATGACCCCGTGCAACGCACAGCTCTGGGCCCCACAGCTGCTGACACAGCACTGCTGGGAGGAGAGCTGGGGGTTCCCCCCCCTGAGCTCTGCTGTGCTCTGCCTGGAAGAGCCGGAGCCACTGGGGTGCTGCAGGCATGGCTGGGGGGGGGCAGGGGTAACTCACTGCACCTCCACGTGGGTTCAGTGTTCTGGAGGTTTTTTTTGCTCATCTTTTGGGTTAAAGAGGATGGAAAAAGCTCGTGGGGTTGCTGAGAAAGGAGAAATGCTCTGGGAGAGACTCAGCACCACCAGCTGGAGGAACGCTGACGGCCCTCCTGGGGGCTGGGCTCTGTGTGGCACCGGCTGGATGAGGCCAGCAGCGAACAGAAGAGAGCCTGGAGCGCAGCGTGGGACAGGCAGGCACCCAGCTCACCTGGCAGAGCGCTGACACCTCCAGCAGAGCACAGGAGCACGGGGCGGGGGGGCGGGGGAGGAAGAGGACAAACGCAGTAATTTCTGAAGCCAAAGATAACAGAGCAGCCTCCGGCTGAAATTCCCAAGGAGTGCAATTTGGTGTGACAGCCGGGCCGGTTACCTGCTGCAAACTCCTCAATCGTCATCAGTGGGAAGCGGATGAGCGCCAGCGCTTTGCCCAGCACCTTCCTCTTGTTCTCAGGCACCACCTGCAGCTGCTGCCTCTGACACTCAGCCTCCGACCAGCGAACCACGGCTCCGAACAAACGAACCTCCCGGATGCCCAGCGTGTCGCGCTCCAGCACGGCTACCAGCGTGTCTGCAGGGACACAGGGCACAGCCAGCACTGCCCCTCCGTTCTGCTGACTGCAGGAGGAGCTGCAGTGTAACTCGGGGTGGCATAAAAGCCCCCTGCCTCACGTGCTGTCCCCTCTGAAGGAAGGTTGACGACCGAGCGTCAGCGCCTACGAGCAGCGCGCAGCGAGCTGGGCTGCTGGGTAGGATAATTAAGAGAACCAGTTCTTGCTTCTACAACAACACCTCTGTAACTCCAGAGCCTGAGGAAGGCTGGGGAACGCTGCCAGCTCAGCAGGGGAAGGCATGCTAGGCCCAGCCCAAACCTGCCGGCGGCAGCACAGCACGCAGCCGCTGTGTGGTGCCCACAGAAATTCAGCTGCACGAAGCCAGCAGCTCCAATGCATTTCTGCTCTGCAGCCTCCCTCAGATCGACCCGGAGCGGATGGAAGCCCAGGTGCCCACAGGCAGGAGCACGGCGCACAGGCAGCCCGCAGGGGAGGGATCGTGCTCACCGAGGTCGATGTCAGTGAAGCCCTCTGCGTTGATGGCATCAGATGTGTTCTTGTCGATGTTCTCCAGGCACAGGCTGGCCAGCTGAGGCTCATCAAACAGCCTCGCCTGGTCGTGAAGAAGCACTCATTAACACACAGGGCTCTTTACAAGTTGATGCCAAGCGCTGGCGCTGCCCCCCTCCCCACACCCCATCCTCATTGGCGCTGCTGTGCCTGACCACAGCAGTCTGTCAGGCGTTGAACGCAGCAAGGCAAAGGCCAGAACGCAGATCTGGGGGCACGGCTCTGCTCCAGCTGTGCACGACCCCAGGCACACATTTCCTCCTACACACAGCACCACAATGAGCGCCCAGCTGAACGAGGCTGATTTTCTCACATGGTTTTTGTTCTTCGGATGTGGCTCTGCACGACGGCTCCACTTGCTGTAAGGATGCACACAGGTGGCTCCTGGTGCAGCAGCAGAACACCCCAAGGTGTGCAGTGCTCCATCCTGCTGAAGGGGAAACCGCTCCACCTCACACCTGGTGCCACAGAGTGCTGCGATTCCACCTCAATGCCAACACTGAGGTCCATCTGCCCGCCCCACGTGCGGCTGCAGGGCTCAGGAGAGCACAGGGACAGCTTGTGCAAAGAGCCAACGCTGTGCTCTTACTCTCATGGATCAGGGAAGTGCCAGCAGTGGGGTGCTGATATCTGAGAGGAAGGACACGCACTACATCCAGAGCTCTGCCCCATAACTTCCTTGCTGATTGCACATCACACCTGCATGCACTTTTGGCACAAGAGAGCAGCGCCGCTCACTGTGAGCACCAGGAAAAGCTGTCTGCCATGCACTTCTGGCAGATGCTGCCTGATGGATCGGATGCTGCCTGAAATGCTGTGTCAGAGCAGCAGCACTCAGCAGGGACACAACACAGAGCTGTGGGCTCTCAGGCTCCACCAGCAGCCCTACGTGTGCTGGGAATCGCTGTGCACCCAGATCTCAGGTCTTTAACTGAGATTCGTGGCAGTAGAAGCAGGAACTAAAGGTGGCTTCCCACACCAAGGAGCAGATCTGGCTGCCTCCTGGTAACTGGCTCCAGCCCTCGTGCTGCCTAACACAGAGATGGGGGCATCTCCAACAATCCCACCCTTCAGCTTTTTGGAAACTTGGTGTGCAAACCACGCAGGAATCACAGTGATAATTGTAATGGCTGTGCTGTGAACTAAGCCCACAGCACAACAGGAAGCAGGGAAGCCTGTCTGCATCCAGCACCAGCAGTGTCTGAAAACCCAGGACACCTCCTTTAGCTGAAGGACCTTTGAGACTTGGAAAGAAGTCGCCGCAGCCCTACGTGCTGCCTTGCCAAAGCTGCAGGGTGGCAGATACTCCCCAGGCCACCAGAAGTTCCCACTTCCAGCTTCCACAAGCTGAGGGACAGCACACGATGTCTCTCCACAACCAGGGTCTGCAGGGAAGATCTCTGCTTTTGGATAACAGCTCCTGATCTCTCAGATTCTGGGCTGCTGAACCTGAGGAGCTCAACCACTACAGCCAGGGAGGTACAAGCACGCTGCTGTGACACAGATGGGAAAGCAGCCTTGGCTGCCATCACCCCTGCAAGGACCCTAAGGCCTCTGCCCTGAACAGCCTGCTGTCCTGTGCTGCTCCTTACACAAACCTGCTCAGCACCGTGCTGCTGTGAGGAAGGCTGCAAAGCACAGCAGCACAGAACAGCTCTCTTTGGGATGATGACACTCACTGAACTCGTTCTCCTGTTCCAAAGGATTCGTGCCAACAGAGGCAACCTCACCTGTGTCAGCAGCATGAAGGCGTTGTCTGCTCGGAGGTTCTTCTTCAGGAACTCCACACAGTGAGCTTCCAGGGCTGGCACTGCGTACTTTTTAGCTGTGTAAAGGGTCGTCATAACAGTCTCTGGTCCGATCTGAACTTCATCTGAATAAAGAAACCTGGAAGCAGGCAGACAAGCATCACTCAGCGAGGTATCAGAGCAGCCCTGCAATTCATTCAAGCCGTTCTGTGTCTCTGCCTACCATCCTGGAGCTCCCCTTTCATTGATGGATGTGGGGAAGGACAGGATGCAGAAGCAGAGGGAAGATGGAGAGGGTGACCCCAGACAAGGAAAACGGTCATTGGGGTTGAATTGATCACTGATCACTGATTTGATGGGGTTGAACTGATCAGTCCTGGCAGGGAACAGCCCGATTTTGCCTCTCTTTTGATATTCTAGCCTCACCAAGCCTTAAAGGCAGATGGTAACTCTGTGCTCCAGAGACACAACGTGCTGCTGTGGAGCCATGTGCCAGCTGAGGGGATTCCCCACGTGTCTGAACTGATGTGAGCCCAAGGCAGGGGGCTGCAGGGCTTTTATTTCTGGCCTTTCATTCTATGGAGATCGATTCTCAACCTTCTAGGACAGCACAGTCCTGACCAAAGCACTTTTTGAAGGTAAAGTGGGACGTGTGCCAAAGCTAGATATAGGTACTGTTCCTAATGGGGAGCAAGCAGGGAACGTGTCAGGAGCATCAGATTGAAAGCCCAGAACTCGGTGACAGAAACCCTGCAGAGATGAGGCAGTGACGTCCCAGCACACATCCAGGGCTGCTGCACTGCACACAGCACCAGCCGAGCTCAAAGCCACTGTGAATGGGATGTCACAGCTCCTTCCTCCTCCTCCTCCCAGCACACAGACCAACAACACTGGGAAGGTGAAAGAGCAGGAAGGCGTGCTTATTTAACGGCTGCTACACCTCCAGACGAAGCCAGGCAGATATTTCTGGGCATCAGCTAAACCAGATGTCACCCAGAAAAAGAGGGATTTAGCAGCAGCGTTTAAAGCCCTCAGATGGATTGGCAGAGAGGTTTATTTGGGAACGTACGACCTCCACTTCACAGAATGGCTCAGTGCTTTCATTGCAAGCACTCCTCTCTACAGCCCCTCGGCTCATCCCGCTGCGTTAGCAGCTTACTTCAGCAGAGCCAGGAAGGCAGCAGGCTCCACGTCGGGCAGCTCGATCTCTGTGGAAGTCGTGGCCATCCCACCGTTGAACATGGCATCGAAGACGGCGCTGCCCACGGCCAGCACAAACCTAAAAGCACCAAACAAACCAAAAAGCTGATGTTAAACCAGGCCCATCTGCAGAGAAATCCCGGCCGGCTGCTGGTCCCCAGGGAGGAGAGCTGCTCACAGCATCGCTTTGCAAGAGAAGGGAGAACGGTTTTCTTTCATTTAAGGAGAAAACACCAAGGTCGCAAACGACCTCAGCCTGAGCCCTGCACACAGCATCCAAAGGTCCACAAGGTTTTGTGCACCGTGGAGCAGAACACGTGCAGCTGCTCTGCACAGCCCTGAAAGTCGGAAGCAAGCGTTCCCACAAACCAGGTTTGGTGCTGAAAAGAACCCGGTGTGAACACAGTGCCATCCCTCACCAACGACTGCCAGCTCCTGCTGCAGGGGCAGGCACACGGCTGGGCTGCTCAGGGCTGGCTGTGGTTCTTTAAACCACTGCCAAGCACTTTCGAGAGCTTCCACTGGTGGAAACCCAGAGATGGGCATCTCCAGGGAAGCACCCGGGTCCTGGTGGCCGTGCCCTGAAGCCTCTCCATGAAGCCAAGCCCTCCAGCAGCCCCTGCCCGGCCACCAGCCGTGGGAAAACAGACTCCAACTGCTTCTCTGACCCATGAGGGAAAGGAAAAAGCAGAGGGAAAGCAGAGCAGCAGAGCTGGGTGCACGCTTCGATGGAGAGAGGTATCAACGACTGCGGGCAGCAGGCGGTACGTGATGGAAGGCACGAGGCACGGCGCTCCGGTCCTGGCTCCCAGGAAGCCCACTGCCACCAGGGAGCTGTGGTTGGAGTTTACTGCGGTAGGAAGTGACACAGCAGCTTTTTTCCCTCCTCAATTTACACCCGATTTCTCGTCTGGTCCCTTTCTGCTCTCCCCCCCGTGCAGAGGGCTCCCACAGTGGCAGTGCTGTGCGGGTGCCAGGCGGCATGGCTTCTGCTGGGAAGGAGAGCTGGGGACAAAGCGTGGCGGGCAGAAAAGCACAACAGGCACGTGTGGATTTGTGTCCTGCAGTTCTGAAGGAAAAGGGCCAGAACAAGCAAAAGAACCTTGCTCACAACGCCCAGAGTGCCAGATGAAACAGAAATCCTTTGTGCAGAAGCAGTGACGGCGGTGAGACAGTTGCAGGCATGACTTTCTACTAACAATTAACAGAAACTAATTGCACTCTAAGTTTGTCATTCTCATAGGCAGCAGAGAGCTGAAAGGGGAGCTTGTATGAAAGAAGCTCTCCAATCTCTGCTCCCATTCCACTCCTGGACAGGTCAGTCCAATCTGTTTCACGCTGCTGAACCCGAATGGGTCGGTGCCAGAAAGAAACACAGAGCTCCAAACTCTGCAAGAGCAGAGATTTTTCAGTTTCCTTAAAGCATGAGAGGGACACAAGGTAAGAAAAGCCCTCTGTTCAGGGCATCTCTTTCACCTTGCCAGGGACGAGCACCCACCTCAGCTCCGTGCCCACAGCCCTGCTCCCTCCCACGGTAACACCGACAGCAGAACTCAGAGCCACGACGACCCACTGCTGCAGAGAAATCCCCAAATATCCATTTCTGAAGAGCTGACACAGGAACAGAGTGACACACGAGTCACTGAGCTCTGTGCAATCCCTGAGTGGGATGCCACGGCTCTATTCTACCTTCACCACTCAGGGAACACGAGGGATCGCACAGCAATTAAGCAGCGTTTCGCTTTGGGGCTGTTTCTTTTTTTTCCCCCCCTCCTCTCCTTCAGCTTCACTTATTTTCCACTTACCCAGGTGAGCCCCTGCCCACCTAGCGAGCCCAGTTCTCAGGGCAGGAGTGAGCAGATTCAGACACTAATTAAGCTCCAAATTAGAGAAGTGCAGAGCTGACGCCCTCAACGCTCCAGCTGGCCCAGAACAAGCATGCTTTGCACAGCCAGGGAGGAAAAAGGGAAACCTGAAGGAGAAAATTCTACGTGCACGAGCACATATGAGGAAAGGGGCGGCCTGAGAGCCTCCCCCAGCCCCCAAAGGACAGATCCTGCCCTCAAAGCAAAAGTGTTTGCACACCTGAGCAAAGCGTGAGGCGCTTCCCGCAGCGCTGGGCAGTGATATGCATCAATTCCTGCTTAGAACTGAAAGGAGCTGCCCTGAGAAGCAGCTGCACATCAGCATCATGCAGTGGGGGACAATCCCCTCTTCCCAGCATTAATGCTACCAGACAGGTCACCCCCTGCCCAGGGAACATCCTCCTTCAGAACCACAGGTTTGTTTCTCCAGATGTTCAGCTCTGGCTGCTTTTAAACCCCAATTTCTCCCATGGCTGCTCTCATCAATCCTCTGCACCCATCAGGAATGCTGCTCCTGGCAGACAACTGCAGGGTGAGCTGCCCTGATCCTTGCCTATGGGTTGGGGGGTCTCTACAAAGGCCCCCCAGAGCTGTTTTGGGGGTGAGGGGGGAGTTCTGAGGGGTAAGGAACAATTAATTCAGAGGTAAAGGAGTGGTTTGGGGGGAGAGGGTGGTCTGGAGGGACGCAGACAGCTTGGGGACAACAGGGACAGCTAGGGGGTGCGAGGGGGTGACCCCTCCTCCTACCAAATGGGATTGAATCCAACCCCATCCCATAGGGTGGTGTGAACACCCCACTCCAAAAGCAGGCTGTGCCCCACAGGCCCTGCCTGTCCCCCCCCACTCAGCTGGGACTCCCTCAGAGCCTCGTATCCCCCAGACCCAGCTTAGCCCAGGCCAGGGGCACCCCCACAGTCTACCCATAGCCTGCCCCACACTCACAGAGCCTACACAATCCCCCTCCCCAAACCATATTGTGCCCCCCAGGCCTTCATCCCACCCCATAGCCCTCTGGGACCCTTCAGAGCCACACATCCCCCAGCCCCACCTCAGTTCCCCCAAACCACGCTGGGACGCCAGGGTCTCCCTCAGGACCTCACATCCCCCAGCCCCAGCACAGCCCCATCCTGGTGGTCTATGTGAGGCCCTCCCCAAACCTCAAGGCCCCACTCACAGCCATCGCATCACCTTCACATCCTGAACACGGCTCTCCCCACTTCACCCACATCCCCCCCAGGACCCATGCATGGCCCTTCCCACATCCCCCCCCCACAGAGTCCTCCATACTCCCCCCAGGGGCCTCCCCCCTTGGCTCTCCCCTCACTTTCACACCCTAACCATGACTCTCCCCTCTTCCCACCCTCCCCACTCCCCCCATACCTCCCCTAGAGCCTACTCACGGTCCCCCCCTCACCTTCAGACCCTAAAACACGGCTCTCTCCACATCCCCAGGGCCCTCCCCATCTCCTCTATGACCCCCCAGGGCCTATCCACAGCTCTCCTCTCACCTTCAGATTCTAAACACTCCACACAGAGACATTCGGATTCTAAGCTCTCCTCACACTCCGTTTTCCTCATCCCTCCAGGGCCTACCCACAGCTTTCCCCTCACCTTCACACACTAAATACGGCTCTCCCCACCTCAGCTACATCCCCCTACACATGGCCCTCACCTTCACTACTTCAACATGGCTCTCCCCTCCCCCCCCCAGTGCCCTCCCCATCCCCTGAGTCCCCCCAGGCCCACCTCTGTCTCTCCCCACATCCCAAACCTCCAGATCCCTCCCCACTCCCCCCCCCAGGACCTACCCATAGCTCTCCCCTCACCTTCACACCCTAAATATGGCTCTCCCCACCTCCCCTACATCTCCCCCATCCCTACCCATGGCTCTCCCCACATCCCAGCCCCCCCAGTCCCTCCCCACTACCCCTAGAACCTGCACATGGCTCTCCCCTCACCTTCAGACAGTAATCATGTCTCTCCCCACCACCTCAATCCCCCCCCATCCCTCCTATCCCTACCCATGGCTTTCCCCAACCCCCCCCCGGTCCCCCCCCACAACCCCTACAACCTACCCACAGCTTTCCCCTCACCATCACACCCTAAATACGGCTCTCCCCACCCCCCCAGGGCCTACCCATGGCCCTTACCTCCACAATCAAACCATGGCTCTCCCCGCATCCCAGCCCCCCTAATCCCTCCCCACTACCCCTAGAATTTACACATGGCCCTCCCTTCACCTTCACACCCTAAACACGGCTCTCCCCAGATCCCAGGCCTCCCCAATCCCTCCCCACAACCCACCTATGGCTTTTCCCTCACCATCACACCCTAAATATGGCCCTCCCCATCCCCTCCATGTCCCGCCCATGGTCCTTACCTCCACAACCAAACCACGGCTCTCCCCATTCCCCCTACATTCCCCCCATCCCTATCCACGGCTCTCCCCACATCCCAGCCCTCCCCATCCCTCCCCACTACCCCTAGAACCTACCCATGGATCTCCCCTCATCTTCAGACCCTAAACACGGCTCTCCCCACCTCCCCATCCCTCCTATATCGCCCCCATCCCTACCCATAGCTCTCCCCACATCCCAACCCCTCCAATCCCTCCCCACTACCCCTACAACTTACACACGGCCCTCCCTTCACCTTCACACCCTAACCATGGCTTCCCCCACATCCCAGCCCTCCCCAACCCCTCCCCACAACCCCTACAACCCACCCCCGGCTTTCCCCTCACCATCACACCCTAAACACGGCTCTCCCCATCCCCTCCACCTCCCACCCATGGCCTTTACCTCCACAACCAAACCACGGCTCCCCCCCCCCCCCCTTCCTGCATCTCTTCCCCCCCCTCCCCACCTGTGTGCCGGGATGCGCTGCGTCCCTCGGCCTTTCCCCACCAGGAAGTGCACGTCGCTCAACACCTCGTTGTTAAACAGAAAAGCGAATCGTTCCTGCACCGTGGGTTTGGTCGCCTGCCAGTTGTACACCGGTTCCCTCTGCAGCCCTCCGCCCGGGCCGCCCGCCGGGGCCGCCCCCACTCCCGGGCCTCCTCCTCCTCCTCCTCCTCCTCCTCCAACCGCCGGATTGTTAGCTCCGCACTGATTGTAAGTGAGCCCCGGAGGGGACGAAGGCGTTCCGTCAGCGGTTGCGGCGCAGGCAGCTCCGTTGCCCGGGGGAGGCGGCGGGGGTTGCGGGCAGGACGAGGACAGACCCCCGGGGCCGCTCCCGCCGGCCGCCATCTTGTGCGGAGCGCGGCGCGGCGCGGGGCGGCGCTGCAACAGCAGCAGAACCACGAGCGGCGGGCGGGACACGGCGGCGGGAGGGAGCGGGAGCGGGGAGGAGGGGGGCGTGGGGGGGGCGGCGGCGGTGGCGGCGGCGGTGGGGCGGGGGGCGATGCACAGAGCCGGGCAGCAGCGCGGCATGGAGGGAGGGAGGGGAGGGGAGGGGATGGGGTGAGGGGAGGAGAGGGGGGAGGGAGGAGGGGGCGGGGCTAAAGGGGAGGGGGGAGGGAGGGGGTGTGAGGGGAGGGGGGGGTCTGAGGTGTGCGGGAGGAGGGGAGGGGGGGCAGATGTGAGAGGAGGGGCGGATTTGAGGGGAAGGGGGGCAGATCTGAGGGGTGTGAGGGGCAGATTTGAGAGGGAAGGGGCGGATTTGAGTCGCAGATGTGAGGGGCAGATATTAAAGGGGGCAGATAGAGGAGGGGGGCAGTTATTAGGGGCAGATGTGAGGTGAAGGGGCAGATTTGAGGGATGAGGGGGCAGTTCTGAGAGATATGGGCAGTTCTGAGGGGTGTGAGGGGCTGATCGGAAGAGATAGGTGAGATCTGAGGGGAGGGGGGCAGATCTGAGGGGCAGATATAAGGGGAAAGGGGCAGTTCTGAGTGGAGAGGGGCGGATTTGAAAGGAAAGGGGGAGTTTTGAGTTGCAGATGTGAGGGAAGGAGGGCAGATCTGAGGTGTGTGGGCAGATATGGGAGGGGAAGGGGGCAGATTTGAGAGGAGAAGGGGCAGATTTGAGCAGCAGATGTGAGGTGAGAGGGGCAGTTCTGAGAGGTGTGAGGGGCAAATATGAGGTGTGTGAGGGCAGTTCTGAGTGGAGAGGGGCAGATGTGAGGGGCAGATATAAAGGGAAAGGGGCAGACATGAAAGGAAAGGGGCAGATAGAGGAGGGGGGCAGTTATGAGGGGCAGATGTGAGAGGTAAGGGGCAGGTTTGAGGGAAAAAGGGGCAGATGAGAGGTGAAGGCAGTTGTGAGGGATGCAAAGGGCAGATCTGAGGGGTGTGGGCAGATATGGGAAGGGAGGGGGGCAGATTTGAAGGGGAGGGGGGCAGATCTGAGGGGTGTGAGGGGCAGATCTGAAGAGATAGGTGAGATGTGAGGGGAGAGGGGCAGATGTGAGGGGCAGGTTTGAGAGGAAAGGGGCAGTTTTGAGTGGCAGATGTGAGGGGAGGGGGGCAGATCTGAGGGGTGTGGGCAGATATGGGAAGGGAGGGGGGCCGATTTGAGAGGAGAAGGGGCCGATTTGAGGGGGAGGGGGCAGATCTGAGGGGTGTGAGGGGCAGATTTAAGGGGAAAAGGGTAGATAGGAGAGGGATGGGCAATTGTGAGGGGAGAAGGCGGTTCCGAGGGGCAGATCTGAGGTGTATGAGCAGATGTAAGGGGAGAAGGGCAGATATGAAGGGAGAGAGAAGAGGGGCGGATGTGAGGAGGAGTTGTGAAGGGAGAGGGGTGGGAGTGAGGGGTGTGAGGGGCAGATCTGAGGGATAGGGGCAGATCTGAGGGGTGTGAGGGGCAGATCTGAGGGGTGTGAGGGGCAGATCTGAGGGATAGGGGCAGTTCTGAGGGGTGTGAGGGGCAGATCTGAGGGATAGGGGCAGATCTGAGGGGTGTGAGGGGCAGATCTGAAGAGATAGGTGAGATCTGAGGGGAGAGGGGCAGATGTGAGGGTCTGATCTGGGAGGTGAGGGGCAGATGTGAGGGGCAGTTTTGATGCGTGTGGGCAGCTGTGGGGGGGCGAGGGGCAGATCTGGGGTGGGGGGGGCGGCTGCGTGGGGTTTGAGGGGTGTGAGGAGGCAGAAGTGAGGGATAGCAGGGGATGGGCAGATATGGGTATGGGAGCAGTTGTGGGCTGAGGGGGCAGCTGTGAGGGGGTGAAGGGGGCAGTTCTGAGGGGCGCAAGGGCAGTTCTGAGAGATATGGGCAGTTCTGAGGGGAGGAGGGGCAATATTGAGGGGTGATGGGGGCAGTTCTGAGGTGTGCAGGGACCAGGGGCCGAGGAAGGGGGGCAGCCCCACCGAGTTGGGGAACAGAAGAGTGATATGGGGCTGAGTGCTGGGGGCACCCAGGGCCAGGGCTGCTCCTTGTTGCTCTCGTGAACCATCCGTTCCCCTAAAGCAGGGTCAGGATCCGTGCTGAGCTCAAGGTGCGTGCACACGTGAGCAAACACGCAGTCCTGGCGCAGCCCTCCATTGCAGCAGTGCGCTGCCTGCCCCTCTGCTGCCGCGCAGAGCTGTGCCAGGTTCGGAGCTGAGACCCCAATGCAGCTGAAGGATCTCATGGCATCAATCTCATGGCATCAATCTCCTGCTGCTCACACCGGCGTGGATGGGTGGACGGCTTTGCGTCGCGTTATCTCAGATCTGCTCCTTGCTGCATTGCACACCGGCAGGTTTCTACTGCATTATCCTAATTGGGGGAACTCCCATTCCCACAGCTATGCACAGCTCAGAGCTGGCCATTAGCTGACCCTTCTGGCACCCAGTCTGCATGCAGGAATGCACGGCAGCCTTGAGAGAGACGCTGCTTTTCCTTCTGAAATCTTCCTGCAATTACTGATAACCGAGCACTGAACATGGACGCGCTCTCTTTCAAAAGCACCACGTCCTTCTCCTTGCAGCACCCCCCTTTGCTGGCAGAGCTGTTTCCATGCATTTCAGCATTGTTTTTTTTGCTCAAAACTCTGTTTTCTGCTCTGTCCTGCTGATGTTTCTCTGCCTTATTGGGGCTGCAAGCATCAGAGGGAGCTGCAGGCTGCTGCTCGGCCCCACGTGCAGCTGCAAGAGTGGACACTGCATGGAGCAAGCAGCACCGTGCAGGCAACTAATTAGAGCCCTGCGTGTGATGAAACAGATGAAAATTAGTCATTTTGCGGTGGTGGCCTGATGGTTAAAAGCCAGGCCAATGGAAAGAAGCCCAGGAGAGAAATAATCGCACGGACAGTGGAGGAATGTGCTCGGGGTGCTGCCACACCTGGGCACGGGTGCAGGAAGGACGGGGGGGAGAAGCGGCTGCTCATCTCTGGAGCGAAGCAGAAGCGATCAGCAGTGTGATGAGACAAAGAGGCGCCGGCAGAAGCGGTGCCATCTGGGAGGCTTCGACTTCCCCGAAATAAAGCTGAGAACAAACGCTCCTAAAAACGGCACGGCGCCGCTATTTCTGGACCTGATCACCACCAGATCGCAGCTTTACCCATCGGGCGCTCGGCACAACCAGCGCCGCAGGAAGCAGAGGACGCCGTCCTCCGTTGCTTTGCGTTGTGGAGGTGCATCCCGAGCAGAAGATGGGAACGGAGACCCGCGGAGGGGTCACAACGTCCCGCCGTGTCGCCCAGGTGCCACCGCGAGCTCCTATTTTGGGCTGATGCTGCAGCACCCGGTGGCGCGGGGCACTTTAGCTGAATAGCTTAGGGCTATTTTCAGAGCTGCCCTTCTCCGCACGTGCTCTGACCCACTGTCCAACCATGAGGCACCTTCTAGGGGCGGTGGCGAGGAAGGGGATCCTGGCTGGGCCAGCAGAGGTGACATCAGAGCTGCTGGGATCAAGGGGACGCCCCAGGCCCTCGTCCTCAGCCCCGCGGAGCTCAGCTCTGCCCCACGACTTCACCGCTGCCCCCAGCCCAACCCTGGCTCTGAGCTGAGCACCGGCACCCAGGTGCTGCTGTGCCCGTCCTCAGCACGGGCCAATGGCTGGAAAAATTCCTCACCGTGCCAGAACACCTTTAAAAAAAATTCACTTTCTATTTCGGAGACCTTGAACGAGGGTTAAAGCAGCAGCGCAGCAACGCTTTCGCAGCCCCTCTCCCCCTGCGCTCCCCCACCTCCGCATCCCCCAAAGCCATTCCCACAGCATCCTCACAGCCAAAACCAAGCCTCAAGTCACCCCAAAGCCACCCCCTCCCACCCCACGCTGTCTCTGTGCCTCAGTTTCCCCCAACCCCACAACCCAGGGCACAGTGGGGCCACGGTGACCCCCCCCCTCACCCTCACCCACCCCAGGGTTGGGAGAAGCGAACAGGGGCTGCCACAGCCCCCACCCTCGGCTCGGTCTCAACGCATTTTTATTAAATCCTTACAAAACAGAATACAAAATTCTGGCATCAACAATGGTTATAAAGGAAAACTTCAATCCAGCTGTATCAGTTCACCTGGTACATACAGTAAAGTGCTTGTTGGTTGTAGGGTTTTGTTTTTTGTTTTTGTCTTTTTTTTTTTTCTTTCCTTCCTTTTTAATTCTCTTTTTTGCCCCCCCACCCCCCCGTTGTTTTTTATCCCCCAGCCCCAAGCGGAGGCAGCGGGGCGCAACGTGTCAGCCCAGCTTTGGCAGTCTTCATCCATCGTAAAGCAGAGAAAATCCCCCCCCCCCCCCCCACTTCCATTAAAACAAACAAACAAACAAAAGAAAAGTTAACTTCACAGTAACAAGTTTCTACCCAGTCCTACGTCAGGTGAGTGGGGCCGGAGGGGAGCGCAGGGATGGGAGGAGGCAAAATGCTGCGAGTTCCCAGCTTCGAAACTGAACGTGACAGCTGGTTTCTGGGCCAGGTGCCCTGCGGGGCTTTGGGTGCCATAGGGCTGATCCTCAACCCCACAGCCTGACCCCGTGCTGCTCCCACCCCACAGCAGACCTCAGGACCCCGAGGCGTCGGCTGCGCATCCTTCCAGCGGTTCTTAATGTAAGAAAACGAGGAACCATCCACAGCTGACAGCACAAAGTAAGCAACCCACGTCACAGCGCACGATCAAGATGGAGTTGTTGTTTTGTTTTTCCTCGGGGGGAGTTTTCCCATGCAGGGGGAGGGAGGAGCGGGGGGCATCGCCGTCCCCGACCCCACAGTTGCTGCAGGGGGGTGGGGAGGGCAGCCCTGCACCCGGAGGAAACCCCTGCCCCCAAACAACCCTACACGTATTGCATAGTATTGCTGTCAGCAGTCTGAAAACAGAAAGAACTCTTTTTTTCCAGCGACCCGGGGATGTCTCTCCCATATCCAGGCAAGCTCCCACTGCACACAGCGTGGGGCACGATTGCTTTTTGCTTCCCCTCCATCCTCCCCCCCCCCCCCCTCCCCGAAAAAAAAACCCAAAACATATAAAGCTCCAAGCATAGAGAGTGCAGAATAACAGGGCTCCTGCTCTGAGCAGGACACGGGGACGGCTGCAGCTCCTACCCCACAGTGTTCCATCAGCTCCCCCCTGCTGCCCTGCACCCCAAACCCTCCTGCTGCTGCTGCTGCTGCTCCCAGCTGGGACCCCCACTCCATTGCCCAGCCTCAGGGCCAGCCCAAAGCTACACCAGGGCCCCGCTGCCCTACCGAGGGGGATTCCATGGAGCACCCCTGTATTCCTAAAGACGTTTCTCCCTATTTGCCTCAGCTGCTCTGGAACCTGGGGTGCACCCCCCCCCCCCGGTGCAGGAGCACAGCCCTGGGACCGAGCACTGCCCCGCTCTGGCCTTACCCCTGCGAGCTGCCTGCTGGAGTGAGGGTGGAACGGAAGACGTTTCCCCGTGCCCTGTAGAGAAGCACAGCTAGAGCAGGTTAAAACCAACACGAATCAGTAACAATTAAAAAGGATAAAAGGGGGGTGAATAGCTTATTCTGGAGGCTGGCTGCCAGGGAGGGCACGAGCCGGGGTTGGGGCAATGGGGGGTGAGCGTCGGGGTGAGCATTGGGGTGCACCCCCATTCCACACCATCCCTGGGGTGGCCCCCCCTGCTTGTAGCCCCCCCCCAGCATCCGGGGGACCCCTCAGCTCCCCGTAGGGCCGAGGTGACAGCGCTGCTGCTGATGGTCTTTTGTTCACAGTATGAGCTGAGAGCTGAGAGTGGCACAGAGTCCTTTGGTGCCGGGGTGTGCGTGGGGGGGACAGGAGAAACCAAGCACGAGCTGGGGAGCAAAGCCCAAGTGTCTGTCTGGTGTCTGCGGGTGTGCTGGGGGGGAAGGAAGGGGGGAAGCAACCCCACGTGTGATTTAATACCTTAGCAAAACAAAAACAGGAGGATCTTCCCTAAACCCCACCAGCCCCAAAGCCCCAGAAGATCCGCAAAACCTCGGGGAGCAGCCAACAGGACAGTCCTGCCTCGTTGGCAGCCAGCAAATAAGGGCAGATTTGGGGGTAGAGGGGGAAAAAAAAAAAAACCAAAACAAAAAACCAAACAAACTGAAGAGAGAAAAAGGGGTGGGAAAGGGAGGAGAGGAGAGGGGAGCACAGCGGGGCTCAGGCCTGGTCAGCCACCAGGACCAGCGGGGCCACCAGGTGCTGCTGCCCCGCAGCCACTGCTTTGGCCGCGCTGCTCCTCTGCCGCCGCTGCGCCAGCTGGGACTCGGAGGGTGGTGAGAGCTGCACGGCCCTGGAGGCTGCTTTGATGATGATGGGGCGCTCCTCCTCCTCCTCCTCCTCCTCCTCCTCGTCCTCGTCGCGCTGCGTCAGCTGCCTGTTGACGGCCATGGCCTCCGCGGCGAAGGAGGTGAGTTCTTTGGCACTGCTGTTCCTACGGGGCACAGATGGAGGGGGCTGAGGGCATGTTTGAGGCCCCAGCGTGCAGGGATGGTGCTGAGAATGGGGCTCGGACCCCAATCGTGCACTGCAACCCCACAGTGGCACAAGCAGGAGCCTGTGAGTCGCAGTTTTAAGAGTGTGAGCTTCGCTGGAGCACGGGGAAGAAGTTCTTGGTCGATGCACTGGCACTGCCTGGAGCACCAGTGGGTGCCCCCATCCCCTCCGAGGTTGGGGCTGGGGGCAAACCTGGATCCCTTGGGGTGGGCTGGGGCTGCTGGGGGTGGTGCTGGGAAGTGGGGTCCCCCAAAGCAGGGGGTCCACGTGCCGGTGCTCATTGCAGGGGACGCACGGGGGTTGCCATGAAATGGGGACTCACAGATCAGGGTTTGGGGACCCCGTCCCAGTGCTCACTAGGAAGGAACCCATTGGGGTGATGGTGGGAAATGGGATCCACATCCATGAGCTCCTCGTATGGGGACCCGCTGGGGTGATGCCATAAAATGGGGACCCGTCTGTTTGGGGGCTTGGGGACCCCATCTCAGTGCTCCCATTAGGGTGATGGTGAGAAATGGGGTCCCCAAATCAGAGGATTTAATGAACCCATCCCAACACTCTCTATAGGGGAACCTAAAGGAGGCAGTGCTGGGAAGTGGGCTCAGTCAGGGGGTCTGGGGGTCCATCCTGCTGCTCACCATAGGGGAATCCATTGGGGGTCCAGAAATCTGCTGGTCCCAGTGCCAACCATAGGGAACCCACTGGGGATGGTGCTGGGAACTGCCCCAGATGAGATGTGGAGATCCCATAGGGCAGGCCATTAGGGGGGTGCTGGGTAGCAGCCCCCAGGAGCTGTGTTCCAATGACCACCCCCACCCCATTAGCCCCAGTTTGGCCCCACAGACTTTGGCTGGAGGTTTTCAGGCCAACCTGCTCTATGGGGCTTTGTGCCAACCTGCTCTATGGGGCTGCCCCCACCCACGGGGCCGGAACCAGATGAGTTTCGCTTCCTTCCCACCCCAACCCACGCCACAACCCTCCAAATGAGGGCCGACCCCCAGCACTCACCTCTGCAGGATGATGGGGGTCGGCAGGGTGTTATCAGGGGCGCACTGCAATGAAACGGAGCCACTCACACACAGGCACCCCACAGCCCTCGGGGGCATCACACCGGGACGGGGAGCACGCAGCACTCACCCCCTGCACCCAGGGATGCTCCAGGACCTGGGCAGCGCTGAGCCTCTTCTTGGCATCCCGCAGCAGCAGCTTCGAGATGAGGTCTTTGGCCCCAAAGGAGATGTGAGCCCAGTCCTTGTCGGGGAACTCGTATTTGCCCTCCTGGATGCTCTCAAATAACATGTTCTGGGAAGGGAAAATGAGGGACTGCGGGGTGAGCAGGGGGGGAAGAAAGAAGGAAGGGAAAACAAGGGGCTGTAGGGTGGGCACCCCGCGTACCTGGCAGGTGGGGCAGGCCTCGCCCCGGTCCCAGCCGCAGTCGGAGCCACAGTGGCCCACGAAGGGGGGGTACCCACTGAGCATGATGTACAGGATCACCCCCAGGCTCCACAGGTCACAGCGCTTGTCGTAGATGGACGCCTCCTCGCTGAAGGCCTCCACCACCTCCGGGGCCATGTACTCAGCTGAACCACACTGCGGGGTTGGGGGCAGCCGTCAGGGTGCAGCTCCTGGCAGGGGGGGGGGCTGCATCCCCACACCGTCCCCATGGGATCCTCAGATCCCCCAACCCGGGGCAGCCCCCGTCCCAGCGCTGCCCCCACCCCCGTGTCCCCCTGCGCTGGGAGGGGGTCCTCAGATCTGCTGGGCCCCATTTCACACCATCGCCCCAATGGGTTCCCCTATGGTGAGCAGCAGGATGGATCCCCAAACCCTCTCATCTGAGGCAACCCCCTTTCCAGCACCACCCCCTTTAGGTTCCCCTACAGAGAGCACTGGGATGGGGTCATTAAATCCCCTGATCCGGGGATCCCATTTACCACCGTTACCCCAACACGTCCCTCTTTGAGGAGCATCAGGATGGATCCCCAAACCCCCTGATCCAGGGGGACCCCACTTCAAGTACCACCTCCAATAGGTCTCCCTTTGTGAGCACTGGGATGGGGTCCCCAAACCCCCAATCCGTGGGTCCCCATTTCCCAGCATCACCCCCATGGGTCCCCTGGGATGGGGTCCCTACTGATGGCACCACCCCAATGGGTTCCCCTTATGGGGAGGGCTGCAACACAGACCCCCTGATTTAGGGTCACCCCCCTCCCCCCCAACACAACACAGACGATTCCAGCAGCTGTGCCCCTTTGCAGGGGGGGCGTCACCCCAAAGCCCCCCCCCCAGCACCCCACTCCAAGCCCCTCCCCGCAGCACTGACGCAATGGGATGCCCAGACCCCACAGCGCCCGCCTCCACGCTCTGGGCCTTTCCAGCACACATGACCCGGTGACGAGGGCAGAGGAAAAGCTGTAGCAGCAGATAATGGAACGGCACCGCCCCCCCAGTGCCCCCCCCATCGGCACAGGGTGAGCCTTAACCCTATAGGGACCGGGGGGGAGGTGAAGGGGGATGGGGGAAAACAACCCCCAGCGAGGCTGAGAACGGGGAACCTGTGACACAAGTGGAACATGGCGATGCAGTGATGGAGCAGGATAGAGGGGCTGGGGAGAACTGTGTGCCCCTCACCCCCCCTCCTCCCCCCCAGTTCTGTTTGCAGCTCAGCCCCCCCCGGGGGCCAAAAATCCCCAATGGGGCCCCACAGCGATAAGGCCTTCCCTCACCCCAGGGTGGGACAGCAGCGTTGTAGGGGTGAGGGCTCCCTGTGATACCCCCCACCCCATCCCCCCTCCCCAGGAGGCTCTTAGGGCAGAGAGCAGAAGAAACGGTGGGGGGTGGGAGGGTCATGAAATAGGGAAATATGGGGGGGGAGTGTTATGGGGTGGGGGGGCTGTACCGGGGTGAGCAGCTCTGGGGTGGAGATGGGGGAGCAGTCCCCGTTCAGTTTGATGCCGCTGCCCAGGTCGAAGTCACAGATCTTCACTGGGGACACCTTTGTGGGGGGCAGGGGGGGGGGGGGCACAGATGTGTGGGGCTGGATGACCCCCACGGCACTGTGCCCCCCACCCTCCATCACCCCCTCACCCCACTCACCTGGTCTGGGCTCTCACACAGGATGTTCTCCGGCTTCAGATCCCTGTGCGCTATTCCTATAGGTGTGGAGGAGGGGGGGGGGGGAAGGACAAATAGAGGAACCCTCACATAGGGCCAAAATACCCCCCCAGCCCACCCTGACCCCGATGCAGGGAAGGGCTGAGTGCCCCCCCCCCCCCCCGTGCCATGGGGCTCCTCCCCACAGAGGAACGGGTTCAGCCCCCGGGGGGGGGACCAACACCCGGCAGGGCGGCGCCCCCACCCACCCTTGTTGTGCAGGAAGTGCAGGGCGCGAGCGATGTCCCGCACCACCACGCTGGCCTCCAGCTCATTGAAGTGGCGCCGCCGGTGGATGTGGGTCAGGATGGAGCCTGTGGGGTGATGGGGGGGGGGGGGGGTCAGGACTCGGTGCGAGGTGGGGGGCTGAGCTCATTGCCCCCGCAACCCCCCCAGCACTCACCGCCCCGCATCTTCTCGAACACCAGGTAGAAGCGCTCCTCCTCCTCGAAGAACTCGATCAGCTCCAGCACGTTCCTGAGGTGGGGGCACCGCCAAAATATGGAGACCCCCCTTGCCGTGGGACGGGACCCCCAATCACCCCACCCTCAAGGTCAGATCAGCCAGAGACCCCCCCCTTCTGCCCCTCAAAGCTTCAGGAGGATATGGGGCCATCAAAGTGTGCCCCCCCCCCTCCACCCCCTCCAGCAGCAGCAGCACTGACCCCCAAATGAGACAGGCCCACAGGACAGATCAAACCCAAACAACCAAAGACCCCACACCCCAAACCTATCGGGGGACGTGGGGCCACGTGGGACGTTCCTGGGGTGGGGGGGGGGGGGGGTCCACGGGGTGCCCCCCCGTACCTATGGCCCTGGCACTGGTAGAGCATCTCCACCTCCCGGAACACGCGGCTGCGGATGTGCCCACGGCGCTTCTCGATGATCTGCGGCACAGGGGGGTCAGTGGGGTTAAGGAAGGGGGGGAAATGGGACACGGTGCCCCTCCAACCCGTGGGGCTGCACCCACTGCCCCACACCCTCCCCCCACTTGAATCGATAGGGGTGTCCTAAAGGCTGTGTGTGGGAGGGGGGGAGGGGCTGCCGTTCCCCACTGCGTTCTGTTCCCACCCCAAAAGTCAGCGGGGGATTTGGGGCAACCTCTCCAGCCCCCACCTCCCCGATCGCAGCGCCCCGTAGGGGGCACACAGACCCCAAACCCCCACAGCCCTGCCCTACATGGGGTCACCCTCCCCCCCCCAAACCCCATATCCCTGCCCCACAGGGTGCGCACGGCCCAAGCCCTGCCCTATGGGGTGGATACGCAGGCAGCCCCACGCCCTACGCGTCCCAAGCACTCACTCACCCCCCTCCGCCCTCATTTCCCAGCGTGGCCGTGGGGTGGCTGTGGGGTTATGGGGCAGAAATGGGGTCGAGGCACGCACCTTGACGGCGTACTCCTTGTTGGTGATGAGGTTGACACAGGACTGCACTCGGGCGTGGGCCCCTTCCCCCAGCACCTCCTCCTGCAGCTGGTACACATCTGGGGGGAGGGCAGGGGGGTCCCCGTGACAATGGGGTCACCGTAGGGACCTCCCCATACACCCCGACCCCAACCCAACCCCCCTCACCTTCAAAGCGCCCCGAGAAGCTGTCGGTGGCTCTGCAGCGCTTCTTCTTCTTGGGGCGCTTCTTGGCGTCGGGGATGTCGATGGGTTGGCTGGAGGGCATGTCTGAGGGGGGGGGGTGCAGGGGGGTTTCAGCCCTATAAAACACGCCCCCCCCCCACCCCAACCACCCCACTGCTGTGGGGCGATGCTTACCGGGACGGGGTGGGCAGTCGAAGTCAAATTCGGGCTGCAGGCGGGGGGGCTGCTCGAACGACAGCTCAAAGGGGTTCTGGCCCTGGGGGGGGGGGGGAGTTGGGGGTCACAGTGCGGGGCACAAGGATGGGTGGAAACTCCCCCCCACCCCACACCCCGGGGATACGGCTGCTGCTGCCCCATAGGTACAGAGCAGCCCCGAGCCATGGGGCGAGGAGGGTCTGCCCATATGGGATGGGGATTGCTGGGGTTCCCCCCCACCCCCGCGATGGAGGGAGGCACAGAGCATCCCGACCCCCCCCCCCAACCCTAAGGTATGGCACAGGGCTCACAGCCCCGCGACCCCAAACCCACATCAAAGCCAACAGGCCCTGACCCCCCCAGCACAGGATTGGGGCAGACGAGCACTGCACCACTACGGGGAAAGGGGGGGGGGGGGAAACAGAAATAGCACCCCCCCACAAAGCTCCACTCCTGATGGGGGGACAACACCCCCCCCCCCACCCCACAGCGTCCCCCCCCCCTCAGATCCCAAATTCATACAGCCGAGCCCCCCCCGCTGCCCCCCTACAGCCCACACAGCCCCCGCAATGCCACCCCCCCCATCCCCCCCCCCGTCCCCGTCGGGCGGTGCTGCAGCGCTCAGCCCGGCCCCCCCCCCCCCCTCCCGTACCGTGAAGGAGCGGTGGAACCCCGCGAGCTCCGATTTCTTCTGCACCATTTTGCTGACGGGGGGGGGGGCGGAGGGGGGGGGGAGGTGGAAGGGGGACAAGAAAACGGGAGGGGTGGGGGCAATAAAACCGGGGGACAAGGGGGTAAATAAAAACGGGGGAAGGGGGGGGGGGCGGAGGGGGAGGGGCAGAGCCGGGGGGTGGCCGAGACCTGCGGGGAGAGAAGGGGGGGGGGGGGGTTCAGAGGTTCGTGTCCCCCCGCACAGCCCCCCGTCCTCCCCCCCCCCTCCGCCCCGCTCACCGCCGCCGTTCGGAGCGCACCGCCACCGCCGCCGCTCCGCACCGCTCCGCTCCGCCGCGGGGGGGGATCCCGGCCCCGCCCCCCCCGCGCTTATAACGCCGCTCCGCCCCGCCCCGCCCCGCGCTGCGGCCCGGCACCAAAACAGCCCCCCCCCCCCCCCGCGGCGCAGCGCCGCCAATCAGAGCGCGCCGCTCTGCCCGCCCCCCCCCCCCCCCCGGGACAAAACAGCCCCGTGTCCCCCGGTGCTGCAACCCCCCCCCCCACCAACCCTCACCTCCCCCCCCTCCCCTCGGAACGCCGCTTCCCGTCGCTCATCGCAGGGACACCCCGGGGTCGCGTGCCCCCCCCGCACCAGGGGTGGCAACACCCCCCCCTCCCCCCCCCCGGGTGCAGCCACACTCATGTCACGAGTGGGGCCGTGCTCGGCGCGGTGACGTGGGCCTGGGGGCGGGGCAGGTCATGTGTGTGTGCCCCCATGGGCTCATGTGCACCCCTGACCCACCTGAGACCCCCCAGCCCCCAACGAACATGTGAGGAACATGTAATGGACACACAGCTAACATGTGAGGAACATGTAATGGACACACAGCTAACATGTGAGGAACATGTAATGGACACACAACTAACATGTGAGGAACATGTAATGGACACACAGTTAACATGTGAGGAACATGTAATGGACACACAGCTAACATGTGAGGAACATGTAATGGACACACAGCTAACATGTGAGGAACATGTAATGGACACGCAGCTAACATGTGAGGAACATGTAATGGACACACAACTAACATGTGAGGAACATGTAATGGACACGCAGCTAACATGTGAGGAACATGTAATGGACACACAGTTAACATGTGAGGAACATGTAATGGACACACAGCTAACATGTGAGGAACATGTAATGGACACACAGCTAACATGTGAGGAACATGTAATGGACACACAACTAACATGTGAGGAACATGTAATGGACATGCAATGCACGCTGAACAGAGCACATAACAAACATGTAATGAACATGCAGGGAACATGCGATGAACACACGAGAACATGCAACAAACAGGCCAGGAACATGCAGAGAACGTGCTATGAACATACAGGGAACATGTAAGGAACATTCAGGAGCCATGCAAAGAACATGTAATAAACACAAGGCACACACAGTAAACATGCAAATAACATGCAAGGAGAATGCAACAAACACACAAGGAACGTGCAATGAACATACAGAGAACACTATGAACACACAATGAACACACAGGGAACATGCAGGGAACGCACAACCATGCAATGAGCATGTAGTGAACATGCAATTACATGTAAGAAGCGTGTAAGAAGCGTGTGGGGTACAATGAACACACAATGAACACACAGTGAACATGCAATGAACACGCCAGCAGGGCCACCTGCACCCCGCAGCCTGCACGCCCTCTGCATGTTCCCTACATGTTCATTCCATGTTTGCTACATGTCCCCATGTGTTCCTTGCATGTTCATTGCCTGTCCCTGCATGTAGTTTGCGTGCTCTCCACATGTTCCCTCCACGCTCTCTGCATGTTCACCCTGCTCTTTGTACACTGTGTGCTGCATGTTCCTGCATGCACTTTCCATGTTCCTGCATGCACTTTCCATGTTCCTGCATGCACTTTCCATGTCCCTGCATGCACTTTCCATGTTCCTGCATGCACTTTCCATGTCCCTGCACGCACTTTCCATGTTCCTGCACGCACTTTCCATGTCCCTGCACGCACTTTCCATGTTCCTGCACGCACTTTCCATGTTCCTGCACGCACTTTCCATGTCCCTGCACGCACTTTCCATGTCCCTGCACGCACTTTCCATGTTCTGCATGCACTTTCCATGTTCTGCATGCACTTTCCATGTCCCTGCATGCACTTTCCATGTCCCTGCATGCACTTTCCATGTTCCTGCATGCACTTTCCATGTTCCTGCATGCACTTTCCATGTTCCTGCACGCACTTTCCATGTTCCTGCATGCACTTTCCATGTTCTGCATGCACTTTCCATGTTCCTGCATGCACTTTCCATGTCCCTGCATGCACTTTCCATGTCCCTGCACGCACTTTCCATGTTCCTGCATGCACTTTCCATGTTCCTGCATGCACTTTCCATGTTCCTGCACGCACTCTGCACGCTCCCTTCCCTCTCACTGCGCTCCCTGCACACACTTTGCATTCCCTCCTCGTGTTCACAGCCCTTTGCACTCCATGCATTGCACGCTCTCTGCACGTCAGCCATCTGCTCTTTGCACATCATGCACGTCACCCCACGCTCTGCATGCAGGCGCTCCTTGCACACCCCCTGCACGCACTTTGCACGCTCCTCTCATGCTCTCTGCATGCCCTGCACCCACCTCACCCCACAGCACACCCAGCAGCTCTCCCTGCACCCCCGATTGCTTCCATGCAGGCTGTGTGCATCCCTCTGCTCACATCCCCCCCCACGGTGGGGCACACAGCTGCACCTCCTCCATGCACCCCTTTCAGATCCCCCTCCTGCTCTGCAGTCCCACCCAGCACAGCCCCCTGCTCCCCGCCAGCAGCCCGGAACTTTTCTTCTTCCTTTCTTTTTGTTTTTAATAATAGAAATCGCCGTCGAAAAAGAAGAAAAGAAACAAACAAACAAAAGACAACCGACCAGAGGAACGGATCTGGAACATCTCTTACAAAAATACTCCTGCTATTCTGCAGCGATTACAGCCTTAAAAATATAAATCCATTTCTGTAAGGAAAAGCTCTGCGCGGCGCAGCGGGGGTCGCTCAGTGGCACATCTGTGCTGTCATCTCCTTCTGCAAAGGGACCAGGAGGTCAGGTACACAACTGCAGCGCGGCCCCCTGCCCCACTGCAGGCATCCCTCAGCGCCCCCCCGCCGTGGGGCAGCACAGCCCACTGCCACCCCTTCATGCCCCCCCAGCTCCCGGTAGGGCAGGACACCCCACAGAACCACCATCACCACCCCTCGGTGCCACCCTCTTCCCCTCAGGACCACCACTGCCACCCCTTCGTGCCACATCCCTGTCCACCACTGGGGCAGGACACCCCATAGCCAACCCCATAGAACCACCACCGCTGCCACCCCTTCGTGCCACCCCCTTCCCCCCACTCAGTGGGGCAGGACAACCCACAGAACCACCACCAACACCCCTTAATGCCAGCCCCCACTCACCCCAGTGGGGCAGGACAGCCTACAGCCACCCCTTAATGCCACCCCACCTACCAGTAGGGCAGGACACCCCACAGAACCACCATCACCACCCCTTAGTGCCAGCCCTCCCATGGGGCAGGACACCCCACAGAACCACTGCCACCCCTTCACGCCACCCCCCACACCTCCCCCAATGGGGCAGGACACCCCATAGCCAACCCCACAGAACCACCACCACCCCTCAGTGCCACCCTCTTCCCCTCCCTCTGTGGGGCAGGACCACCATTGCCACCCCTTCGTGCCACATCCCTGTCCACCAGTGGGGCAGGACAACCCACAGCCAACCCCATAGAACCACCACCGCTGCCACCCCTTCGTGCCACCCCCTCAGTGGGGCAGGACACCCCACAGAACGACCATTGCAACCCCTTCATGCCACATCCTCCTCCTTCAGTAGGGCAGGACAACCCACAGAACCACCACTGATAGCCCTTAATGCCACCATTCCCCAGTGGGGCAGGACACCCCACAGCCAACCCCATAGAACCACCACCACTGCCACCCTCATGCCACCCCCTTCCTCCCACTCACTGGGGCAGGACAACCCACAGAACCACCACCAACACCCCTTAATGCCAGCCCCCACTCCTCCCAGTGGGGCAGGAAACCCCACAGCCAACCCCACAGAACCACATTGCCACCACTTGATGCCACATCCCTGTCCACCAGTGGGGCAGGACCCCCTGCAGAACCACCACCAATACCCCTTAATGTCCCCCCCCACACCCCCATGGGGCAGGACATCCCATAGAACCACCACCAACACCCCTTAACGCCACATCCCTGTACCCCAGCGGGGCAGGAACCCCCACAGCCAACCCCACACATCCACCACCACTGCCACCCTTTAACACCACCCCTTTCCCCCCACTCAGTGGGGCAGGACACCCCACAGAACCACCACCAACACCCCTTAATGCCACCCCTATGGGGCAGGACATCCCATACGCCACCCCTGCGTGCCACCCCCTCTCCCCCAGGCCAACCCCCCCCCTCCCTGCCCACCAGGGGCTCCAGCTCCTTGGTGTCGATGAGGTTGAACTCCTTCACAAAGTAGTAGAAGTGCTTGTAGCACGTGTTCACGTGCGCCTCCGAGCCCATCTGCGTGATGCGGTCGAAGTGGTGGATGTAGACGTGGACGAAGACGCGGAAAAGCCTCGAGAGGATCTTCTTCACCACGGGGAGGAAGTTCCTGGGGAAGGGCGTACCTGGGGGCAGCACCAGCACGTCCCACAGCCGCTCCCCCCACCCCGGCAGCCCGGTGCAGAGCAGCACGAAGCGCCGAGCTCTGCTGCAGAGCCGCTCCTCTCCCCAAAGGAAAAGGGCTGAAAAAAACCCCGCTGCGGCTCCTCCTGCACTGAGGGGTCTGCAGCTCTTTGCTTAAGAGCTACGGGCAGCGCTGGGGATGCATCTGCTGTGCGCCCTCGGGGTCACCCCTGCCCTCAGGGACACCCCTGCCCTGTATTTGGCACTGGTGACGCCTCCCCTCGAGTGCTGCGTTCAGTTTTGGGCACCTCGGTACAGAAAGGACAGGGAGGTGCTGGAGCAGGGCCAGAGAAAGGCAACAAGGCTGGGGAAGGGCTTGGAGAATGCGGCCTGCAGGAGAGGCTGAAGGAACTGGGGCTGTTTGGTCTGGGGAAGAGGAGGCTGAGGGGAGACCTGATGGCTCTCCTCAAATAGCTGAGAGGGGAGCAGGGCTGGGCTCATCCCGCTGGTGATGAGGGGAAACGGCCTCAGGTTGTGCCAGGGGAGGTTTAGGTTGGACATCAGGAAAAAGTTTTGCACAGGAAGGGTTGTGAAGCCCTGCAATGGGCTGCGCAGGGAGCTGGTTGAGTCACCTGGATGTGCCTAAAAACCGCCTGGATGCTCAGGGCCGTGACGGAGTGGAGGGCTGTGGGATGGGGCGGCCGGGCGGCGGTTGGACTCGATGCTCTTTAAGGCCTTTTCCAACCCGAGCCGTTTCACATTCCTACCCCTGCGCCGACGCAGAGCCCAGAGCGACTCACCGACGTTGGTGGGGAAGATGTCCTCGTTGTTGATCTGCACCTCGATCCAATCCATCAGCAGGTTCATGTACTGCGGGGCGGACAGGGCCGTGGGCTTCCGGTACTTGTGCTCATCCTGCCAGCGGTACTCGTACCTGGGGCCTCCCGACATGACGGGGCAGGACTGCTCGGTGCAGTAGTCGCTGATGGTGCCGTAGATCAGGTTGATGCGGTTGAAGAAGTCCACCACGTGCACGGCCACCCAGTCGTTCTGCTCCTCGCCCGGCGGCAGCTGCACGGCCACCTTCAAGTCCAGCCCGGCGTTCAGCGACGCCTGCGCCTTCTTGTGCAGCTCGAAGCGCTGCGTGCCGGGCTCGAATTTACGTTTGGGCCGGAAGGTTTTGTCCTTATTGAACACCTGCTTCAAAGCGTGGGACATCTCGATTCCCTGCCGCCGTCACAGAGCCGCCCTCCTCCTCCTCCTCCTCCTGCTGCTGCTGCTCATCCACTCCCAGCCTGCAAGGCAGCGCGGCAGGGTTAAGAGCAGCCCGAGCAAAGGAGAGGCGAGGCAGGGAGGTGAGCACAGATCCCAACCAGACGCCGATGAGGAGCACGGCGCTGTTTGTTTGCAGCCATCGATGCCCACAGCCACCCTTCGTGTTGGGCAGCCCTGTGATGGGAGCTGGGGCTGCAGCCAAACACTGCGCTGTGCGTGGGGCTGAGCTGCTCTGACCGCCAGGAGAGCAGAGGAGAGGAGAAGGGGAGAAACCCTCATAGAGCTGCACTGGGGATGGGGGAAGGAAGATCCCCTCCAAGCAGCGACGCAACGCGAGGCACCGCGCTGCCCTCACAGCCAGCATCCCGCTGTGGCAGCACTGCCGCTCCTTTAAGCGCCGATTTCACAGCCCTGCCGGCATCCAGGAGCCGGGCTGAGCCCCGCAGCAAAGCAGGGCCGGCACAGAGCAGCCCGGCCGCGATGCTGAGCACACAGCAACGTTTCTGTCCGTGAGCAGGAAGGCAGCTCTGCTTCCAGCCCGGAAATCGATCCGCCTGAGCGCAGAACTCCGCAGAGCCGCCTGCAAACGCAGCTTCAGATGTTCTGCTGCTCAAGGTCCGGATGAACACAAAGAGCCCTTCATGGCACAGCGCGGCGCCGAGCCACAAACCGGCAGCGCTCAGAGCCGACGGGAAAACCGCGGCTCAGATCCGTCCCTAAAGGCTGAGCATCGTCCCGGGGCACGGGAGAGAAAGGGCGGGGGATGGGGGGCACGGAGAGCCGCAACAGGAGGGCGGCACAGGGGATGGAAGAGCGGCGGTGGGGGCAGCGAGCACCGCGGGTGCGGAACGGTGGGCACCGCGGGTCCCGCAGCGCGGATATTTACCCGTATGCCGAGCAGGAGAAGCTCGGAGGCTGAAGGTCGTCCTCCTCTTCTTCCTCCTCCTCTTCCTCCTGTTGCTGAGGTCCCACGGGTAACAGCTTCACCCCGCTCCGTGCCGACTCGAAGGCCGAGGGAGCCGCAACGGTGCGGGACTGAAGGCCGAAAGACAACGTGAGCTGCGGGACGGAGCTGCGGGGCGGTGCGGGAGGGGATGGGGGGGATGGGAGGGCCGCAGCCGGAGAACGAACTGCGGGATGGGGGCTAACAGAGAGTGGGGGGGAAGGGAAGGCGGGGATAAAAAGGGATGCGGAAGGGGACGGGGAAAAGGGATGGGGAAGTGGGGGGGAAGGGGACGGGGAAGCGCAGCCGCTCCGGCTGGGAGCTCCAAGCTCGGCTCTCGGCTCCCAGCAGCACCGGAGCCGCTCCCGGCAGCCGTGACCCCCCGCCCCCCCCCACGAAGGCATTTACGCCGCAGGCATCGCCCGGGCCGCCCCCCCCGGCCCGCAGAGCCCCTCGGTTCCTCCCCAGCCCCCATTTCCCCCCCCGGACCCCCCACTCCTCACCCGCCGTTCTGCCCCTCGTGCGGCCGCAGCGCAGCCCCGCGCGCCCCTCCCCCTCCGCGGCGCTCCGCCGGCGCTACTTCCTCTTAAAGGGGCCGCGCCCCGCGCTGCGCTTCTTCCTCTTAAAGGGGCCGCGCTGCGAACGCCGCTCCTCGTGGGGCGGGACGGGACCCCGGGGGATCGCAGTCCGACGTGCTCGTGAAGGACCCGCGTTGCTCATTTTATTCTATTTCCTTCTTTACGGCCAGCGCGTGGGGCGCGACCCCTCCGGGCAGGAAACCGACCCCAGACCTCACCGAACTCGCAGGATCGTTCCGGTGGGAAAAACCCACTTAAAGCCCCACGTCCAACCCCGACGCGCCCCCACCCGCCCACGGGCCGCGTCCCGGTGCTGCGACTCCAAACCCCCCTTAAGCCCCACAGCGGCCGCGGACCGACCCACACCGCGCCCGAGGGTTTAGGAGATCTCGGGGCGGACGGAAGGAAGGTGGCTGCGATGGGAGAGCCGTGAAGGCGGATGCGGGTCCCGGTGGGGAAACTGAGGGCAGCACGGGCTCCGCGGTGCCGTTCCTCCCCCTCCAGCCCCACCCGGAGCTCCGCCGGTACGGATCAGGGTCAGCCCTGACGCAGCCCGCTCTCCTTTGTAATTACTAAAAGCTGGTTATTCTTAGAAACCCTAATGGATTAAATTAGAGACGGCACGAAGCGTTGACACAGCGCGGTAATGACATCCTGCAGCTGAGTCACGGCTCCGGCCGGCCCGCGGCATCTCCAGCTTTTCTTCGCGCTCCGCGGCGCCGTCGCTCAGTTCCGACGCAGAGCCGGGGGAGCTTCGCCCTCACCCCGCGCCGAAAGAAGCGCAGCAGCGCCGGGTGCAGCCGCAGGCACGCAGCTCTCGCTGCACGGTTTGCACGAGCTGCAGCAACGAGGACCGATTTTCTGTTCGGCTGCTCGCTGGATCGCGGCACGGCGGCAGCACGGAGCGGGATGAGCGGCAGCCCTGCCGGGAGGCAGCGCCGCGCAGCGCCGCGCGCTTCAGGCCCCGCTGTTCAGCACAAGGCTTTGTTTTTTTGCACCTCCCTGCCCCCTTCTCAGCTCCATTCTCAGCGGTCGGCAGCACAGAGCGCCGTTTTCCCCTTGCTGAGAGCGCAGGCCCGCGCTGCAGCATTGCAGGCACCCCGCAATGAAAACAAATGAGCCGATCTGCCGGGTGCAGCAGGAGCTCAGGGCAGGAAACAGCGCCGGCAACTCCGCAAAGGCAGCAGGAATTTCTCCACGCAGCTCCGGCCGCTGGGGCAGAAAGGTCTCCTCACCTGTGCAGGGCTCTCAGCTGCTGGGTGCCCAGCAGCCACCCATCCCAGCTGCAGGCGATTCCCCACTGCCAAACCGTCCCTGCAGCCCAGAGGAGCTGAAGGCTGCTTCCAAACGACTCCTCGACGAAGCCAAAAGCTTTAACTTTGTTTTGAAAGTTTATTGGATCATCTCGACACAAAATCATTACAGCAGCTTGTGGTATGTTCTCTTTTTCTTTTTCTTTCTTTTTTTTTTTTTTTGTTTTAAGGGAATGTTGATAGCAAATAAATTTGTGAATGGAACACATCATACGGGTTCAAAGTTCTAGAATCACTGCACGGGATTCTGTAAGAGGAGACTCTACATGCTACAGTGACAGCTTTCATCCATGAATTAAAAAAACACGAATTGAGGAACACCACCCTGGCAGACCCGCGGGATCCACACAGCCTGGAACACAGGAGCTGCCTCAGCAGGGGCTGAGCAACAGCAGGACCTGCACAGAGCTGCTCCTGCAGCACAGCCACAGCCTGTCCACAAACACGGACACAGAGGAGCGAAGTGTGAGGGCAGCGCACATTTAATGTACACGGCGGCCCCAGGGGGGAGGTGAGGCTTCGTGCTGCTCCCTGCTGGAAGGGCAGCAGCTCAGCTCCTCCCTGGGGGAGTTCTGGGAACAGCAATCGATGGATCTCAGCCCCCACCTCAAAGCAAAACCGTTCTGTTTGCTGCGTGCGGAACAGCAACCACGACAGCTGGGAAAAAAAGCAGCACGATACTTTGGGGGACATCAGTTAAGCACGTCTGTAAAGGACAGAAAACAGCCCTTCCTTTCCAGGCCGTGGTGCCACGAGGTTCAGTGCAGAAGGGGTTCGATTTCCTCCCCGGATCCCCTCAACCCCTGGCACTGCTGGGAAGCAGCGCTGCTCTGCCGGCTGCGCAGAGGAGCTGCAGTCACACAGGGGCTGGTGCTGCTGTCAGCCTCTGGGAGGGAGATGGCGAAAGAAAAGCAGGAAAAAACCCCTCTGGATTTCCAGTTTCTTGCTACAGCATAACTTGTCAGGAATGTGAAATTGAAGTGGACTCGGAATACATGAGCAGAGCTCAGATGGAGCAGTGACAGCCTGCATCCGCAGGGCCAGCAGTGGGAGCAGGCAGCAGCAGCGCTGCATCCCAGCCCCAGCCCCACCAGGTTAAGGCTCACGGCGACGACCAACAGGAGCCCACCAACATCCCCCCTCCCACAGCTCAGAGGCAGAGGATGCTCGTGAGCCGATCACAACGATCTTGAGATCATCATCATCACGTTTAAGAAAGAAAAACAAAAAAGAGGCCGTCAGGTCCAGCATCAGCCTCTGCTAGAAACAGACATCACCCACAGCAGCCCCGAAGACGCTGCAGCTGAGCACAGCCAGCCTCCTGGTAACAAACACAGCAACAGCGAGGGCTGAGTGCTGCTCAGTGCCCCGTCAGATGGAAATGGTCACAGCATCGCCGCGAGCTGCTGAATAAATAGCACCCCCCCCCCCTGCAGTCACATCACCGGATCTCTTTGGGCCAGAAAGGGTGAACAGCACAGTTTGTAAAAAGTCTCAAAATGAAAAGGTAACATACAGCCTGAAAATGTTTGAACTGCAAATGATGGAGGTAACTGAAAAGCACGTGCCCCAGGATAGTGCATGCGTACGAGGGAGGAACCTGAACACTGGGTCTGCTTGCCGCTGCACGCCGGGTGTTTCTCCAAGTCGGGCTGTTGGTGTGGGCGCTCAGCACTTGGACAATGTCTCTTTCATCTCATCCAGCAAGTTGCTAAGCAGGGTGGGATCGCTGCATTTCCCATCTATGGATACAGAGTTCTCTCCCTTCAAGAGAAAGAAAAGATCCATGGCTGTGGCTCAGTTCTGCTGGCATCCATTGCTGCCCCGTCACCATTTCAGCACCATTTCCCCCTTCCCAGTGAGATGAGGAAACCACAGACCCCGCTCCTCCCAGTCGTTTCAGAGCATTCTGACACACTCACCTTTTTTACCAGCAGGCAGACGTGATGCCCTTGGATGGAACGGCTGTACAAGGATGCACAGGAATCAACACGTTCCACAACTGCAAAGGAAGCAGAGCTGGCACTCAGTGAGAGCACTTCTTTAATGCAGTTTGCTTTCAGCGGAGCTGCTGCTGTCTGGCCTCAAGGAACAGAAACTCCTGCTGGAGGGGCCAGAGAGCCGAGCTCATTTTAAGGATACAAAAGCATTGCAGAACTCAGCACCAGCTCTCTGCAATTCATTCACGCTCACCAAACACAGCAGGATTTCAAAAGACGGAATTTTGCCGGAGGTTCTGCAAGAGACCCACCTGAAAAATGATGATGAAAACAGATCTTTGCCAGGAGATGTTGGAAAGAAATGCTAATTCCATCTACTTTAACGGAACTCATGTGCAGATCTCCAGACTCCAGGAGCTTGGCAAAAGCATCACTGCAATACAGGAAGTCAAGTCAGTTCCTGGGCCACGAAGCCGGGTGAGCTCTGCCCCGTCAGCCCCATGCAGACCCTCAGACACCAGCGATGCAGACGGCTGCACATCGCTCAGCTCTCAGGGAACGTGGGAATCGTTCCTCCGGCCGGTCACAGCGCCCTGTGGCACCAACAGGAGCTGCTGCCACACACAGCGTGGCACACAGCCCCTCCAGAACCACCTGGAGCAACCAGTGGATGCATTTCAGCAGCCAGGCATTACGAGAGACGACAGAACCGCCACCAAACCGATCACCAGCAGCCAGAATCGAACCCATGCCGTGTCCTGCAGCTGCAGCCAAAGCTCAGCTCCGCATGGCAGCAGAAGCCCCGTGCAGGAGGTGCCCCAGTGGCACTTACCTATAGCAAGGCGTCGTGATCAAGTATGAAGCGCAACTGAAGTGCAATTTGAAATCTAGTTTTTCATGGGTTGAACCTTCATCATTCTGCAACAGGTCAAAGGAAAGGAGATGAACGGGAGCCCCGAGGCAGCGAGAGGAGGCACCACCCCCACCTCCAGCGAGGCACAGATGAGGCTTTAAGGCTCAGCTCCCCTTGATAAAAGCTGAGCGGGCCTCAAGGATCAGCGTGACGATGGCCACCGGGACCAGGTTTGGGCAGCTGAGTCAATACAGGCACCCAGAGCAGGTAAGGAACACAGCTGAACAGACCCAGCTCTATTTTCCAGTTGCGTCTGGCTGAATTACACCTTATTAATGTTACCTCATTACTATTTTGTTCAGCCT